GGTTCTTTATGGTTCTTTGGTTCCTTCGTTCCTGCGTCTGACTCCGGTGCAGTAGAATGCAAAGGCTGACGGCCGACATCGACATTGGCAGATGCTTCCAGGATCGTCCAAGTGGTGGAAGTTCCCTTCTCTCTTGTGGCGGTCTTTGCGCCCAAGATCGCTCAGGTGCTGGAAGAAACCCACATGCGCAACTGTAGTACTCCTGAATCTCCTCAAAATGTAATGATAAAATATGATAAGTGATTGATAAGTTATAATGACCAAGGGTTCCGTCTTGCTACATGAAAAGGCGCCTCAAAGACTCTCACACCATCCAGTTCTAGTCCTGGCTGAGCCAAACCTACGACAGGAAGGAGATGCACAATATTGATCAATATGGCACGATGATGCAATCGCAACTACAATATAACTATATATGTGATTCGCGGGTGGGCACAAGACTCCCAGGTGCTACCGTCAGCAACCAAATAGCCTCTCAGCTACTCAACATGTGCAAAGCAAAAAATATCTTTTCTCAACCCTCGATCTATTTGGACCCCTTTGCTTGGGATTCTTTGGGGATGCACCGCTGGGATTCTTCGTCGCACCCTTATGGACGCCGCAAAAGTGGTGAGATTCTTCGACATTCTCCCAATTCAGCCAACAACAGTCGTCCATCTCATCAAACGAATTGTTCCATCTCAGTTACTCGGTTTCCTCCAGAGTCTTACGAAGAGTCTGTGCTCCCAGCTCAACAGTGTCGCGAGCGCACAAATTCTCTGTTTATGTATCCTCCGAAATGTCACAACGGATTTAGAATGTCATTGTTCACAAACGACTTCTAATATGTATCATGTTTGATACCAACAAAACCAAACATTTCCTGCAGTACATAGTTTAAGCGCCGCTTCAGAGGGCAGCCGTTACATGGGTTTCCAACAAAGCCGCTCCCACCACCTCGCAGGTCACTTCTTCTCGCCTTCAAGGGATAGGCCACGCGCCGCACACCTGGGGCGACGCGCCGCACGACTCGACGGCCCTGAACGGCCCAAGGATTTTCAGGCAAGATCCATGGGTTGGGTATCTCCGATAACCAGTAACAGTGTTTCTTTGATTTGTTACGTGTTTTTTAACGGTTGCAGGCCTTTCTTTAAAATCGTGATGATTGAATATGATCGATGATAGGATCATTGTCTGCGGAGGACATGCTTCAACAAGGCTATCGCTTTCGAGCGAAACGTATCGCAAGTTTTAGCAACAATGTCAACACATAGAAGCTGACATCTCAAAAAATGTGGGGATATGCTTATCGCTTTTTGGGGGGGCCCATCGCTTTTGTTTTAGCAAAAATCCAGCAATTAACGACCGCTCTTCACTAAATTAGTCATCACACTTCGCACGTTTTGGCAGTTGATCATAGGCCTACATTGTTACATTGACCCCCTTTTCAACCACCCCAATGTAGGTAGGTAAATGTGCCATACAGGATCATACAGTGAGTCCTGGGGAAGGATACCTCAAGACTACAACAAATTGCTAAGTGATGCGACATGTCAAGCCTGCGAACCATGGATTCTTGGGGTGACCCAGCAAAAACGCCGTGGAATTCAGACCTAATTCAATTGACCATCAAGGACCCCACAGGAACCCTCTACCGATTTGGTGTCACCAACACCCCACCACACATCCCCGTACCATCCCCCAAACACTCCGTGGGACTGCCATATGTGCCGATCAGTTGGGGTATGTCGCGGGGTCAATGGCATATATTCCCCATAGGGCTCCAACTACCTCCGTTTCGAAGACGGTTGGGGTGGGCGCCAGGGGGTCTAACCACCTTCTGAGGATATGGTGAAGTCGCCCTAGGTTCCCCCAAGGAGTGACCCGCGCGTTCTGATTTCTTGGCTTCCGACAGGATGCGAAGGAGTGGCCCCCCTGCGACCGTCAACCTGCAGAGTTGGATGTCAACCAAGGTTGAACGACCCTATAGATCCTATACCAGGACCCGCAAAGGGTGGTGAATGGACACCGGGCTATCAATAGAAGCCCGGTAGGGGGTCCTGGTAGACTATCCCAGTTGGGTACCATCTGTCGACCTCTCACCCCATCCTCCCATCTCCCTCCCCATCCTCCCACCTCCCAACCTCCCACCCCATCTGTCGACCTCTCCGGCTTTGGCGTCTAGTCTCATCTGTCCCTCCTTTGGCTCTATTCTCTAGGAACAAGAAGCTACTAGGAGCAAGGACGCTACGAACGGGGCTCCTGGCCTTACTACTATGGGGGCATTCTTGCTACTGGTCGCGTCCTTGCCCCGTTCGTAGCGAGAGACATCGTCGTCTCGTGAGTCCCACCTCCAGATTTCGGCAAAGCCTTCCATGAGATCATCGAAGAATTCGCCGGCCTGGAGCGCTGGGGTAGCAACCCACCGAAAAGGGGGGGGAGGCAGCAACCGGGACTCACCAATATTGGTGAGTCGCTCCGAAACAATATCCGGCCTACTAAGGATTTGACGTAAGGAACTGGGAAACAACATATTCCCCAGAAGATTCGCCGATATGGCAAAGAACCATCACCCTCAGCCCTACGCAATAGCAGCCTAAATCTGTTCTATGTTCCACTGCTCAAGCTTCAACTGCTCATCATACCGTGTGATCATGGCATAAAACGCATCAAACCCTTCACCGCGAATTGGACTTTGAGAGTTTTCGGGCAGTCTTGGACCATTTGTTTGGCTTCTTCTCCATCGTGATGGAGAAGGCTTCTCTGGCTCCAGCGAAGAACGAAGAGAAATCACTCTTCACCGGAAATTGGGAGGAGCGCAGTCGGCGCAGTCAGCGCACGAAGCCGCTGTGTTTCTCTGCTTTGGAGATCCAAATCTGAAGGGTCCAATAAGGGGTGACATGTCGGATGCATTTATGATCATTGTTTGGGATAGTTACATGATACCATGCAGGACCGTGTTTTCCGGCGAACGCTGCGGGCCCCCCCGCCGCCCCCCATGAAGGTGTCCTCTGGAAAACTGACCGGACAGAGGACATCGGTCCAGTGACGTGACGCGACGGGAAGGACGACTGAGTGCGACGTCACAAGTGACATGAGACGTGTGACATGAAGTGTCTGGACAACATGAAGGTGCAATCTGTCAGACATCAGATTGGAATTGGAATAGGCATGAATAGGCATCAACCCAAGTTACTGTGCCCTCCATTGCCCTCCCGATTCGCGCACATTCGCTCGCGCTCGAGCTCGGTTCCAGCATTCCCGGGGCTCCGGGAAGCACGTTGGTTGGGCCCCTACATTCCTAGTAGCATCCTTGCTCCTAGTAAGGCCAGGCGCCCCTAGTAGCGTCCTTGCGCCTAGTAGCGATGCCAGGAGCCTCTAGTAGCTTCTTGTTCCTAGAAACGCGTTGGTTGGGGCCTCGATCTTCTTCTTTTCTCCTTTGATCCGATGGTTTGGCCGTCCGTCGATCACCTCCTCCGCCCCGGAGTCCTCCTGGCGTGGCGTTTGCCAACAGCCCGGCCGGTCACGATGGTCGGAAGCATGGCGGAAACGGAGTCAATGGAGACGGTGGATGGATAAATAAACGTACTGTATATACATCTATCCGCATCTATCATACAAGTAGAACCCATTTGACCTCTGTTTTGATAGAACAGGACCACGTTTTGGCTCCAAAATAGAGGTCAATCAGGCGTTCCAGGTATTACAACCCACGCCCACATATGAATGAACATGTTCTAGCATCCAGGTACGGGGGTTGTTTTGATCAGTCGTCATAGGCACATAGACATTAGATCATTAGATGACACGAAACTCAATCAAAGCTGACATGGGGAACTTCAAATCTCCCCAAACCCAAGTTGGTCAACAGGCTCTCATTTTCGTGCAGGGGCAGGAAATGACCAACTGGCCAAAGTGCACAATTTCCAATGAAGTTGTGATGAAGTCCTAGAGATCCACATACCTTCTCAGGAGGTACTTGGGCCCTCCAAGCCTACATAAATAGTCTCCAATCACCTTGTGAGAAGATGCTTGGATCCCTAGGGAAGTGACCATCTTTTGCACATGTTCACTTTTGGAGACCTTTGGAATATCAATGAATCTCCCCCTTCAGAAATTTCTACGATCAGCTGACATGTCTGGGGAGGAACCCAACTCACCTTCTCATCCCTCACACAAATGCATTCTCTCACGCGTGCATGTGGCCTCTGAATCCTCTTCCAGTGCCCCAGCGGCCGAAGACTTGGGGCCAGAAGAGGCAGACTTGGAGGATTTGGCCTCGGCCTCCCCTGCCGCCAAGTGGAGAGCAGTGGGGGGGAAGCACTGTTGGATGGGGTGAATGAGCAAGTCTTTTTCCAGCTGTTCAGGAGTCCAACAATGATCAAACACTTTGTTTTTGTGCTTGATAGTGATTGACAACCTCTGTTAGTTATCGTGTTGCGGGAGACCACTGCCGGCATCCCAACGGCCACAGGATTGGGGTGTTTTCATGTCGTGTGTTCGTTGTTTTTCCCTTGTGACTTGTGGTGCAGGAGATGTTCCGTCAGCATGGCCTCAGGATTTCTCAAATTGTGTAGCCCAGACACAGCCTTGTGGTGCCTCCTGAAGACTCTTTTTTCAACCAGCGACTTCGCCCACAACTACTCCCCCTGCAGATTAACGAGGAACCCCTAAACAACCGGGTTGTAGAGGATGGTCTTCCACCGGTCAATTCTCCGGTTCCATGTTGGCTTGCAAGGGGCACCCACACCTGACGGAAAACCGTCTTGAAAAACAACTGCTTCTGGAACACCGTGGTCCCATCTTCCAAGCAGCCGAGCATAGCCGGGCATTTTCCACCCGTTCCACCGTTGTGATCCGCCCTGCCTGCTTTCAGGCGACTTTTCTCAAGGTGAAACGGGACAGGACGGGACCTCTTGTCCCGACCATGTGCGGGTTCAAAGCATACCCCGAGACCCGATCGTAAGTGATTCCTGATGTTGAAACACCTGGAGACAAATCTGGTGTGTGAGTGAAGTACTTGCCAAATCTTGCCTACCAAGACTGGTGAAGACACCGCGTCCTCATGTTTCGCCAGAGCCCTCAGAGGCATCCGTTTCATGACCTGCGTGTGTCAGGTCGAGTAGTCAGGCCTTACTGGGCCTCCAAGTTTCTAAGCAGAACACGCGTGGATTCACAGGAAGGTTGGTCCGCTCATCTCCTCCAACAAACCATTGGTGTCGACCAATCTGGGGCTCATGCATGGTGTTCATGTGTCGAGGTCGTCAATGTTTGGATGGTTGTGGACATCTGAGTAACAAGGGCATCACTACTAATAGCAAGAAGCTACCAGGTTGGAGGCCATTGCTATTAGGTTGGAGGGCATCGCTACTAGTGGCCGAGTCATCCGTGAAAAAAGGCATCCAAAAAGGACATGACCCAATTTCTCAGCAACGTGACCAACCGATGTTCGACCACACATCAGCAGGATTCGGTGGTTCATTGTGGTTCTGAGTTGAAGTATTGATACTGGTCGGTCTTCCGTTACTGTAATTATATATAGTGTTAATTCAGTTTCGCTTTAATTGGCAACCCTATGTTCGATTCATTGTACTTCTGGAACGGTGATGAAAGGTTTTATTTTCGTACCACTTGCTGGCTGCGAGAGTGCGAAGATGTCAGAAAGCCAGCCGCCCTCACAAAACATCTGATCTGATCCAAAAGACCCCCCCCCGTTTCTTCGCTCCAACCGGACACGTCTTCGCCCACGTGTGCCTGACGCAGGCGTGGCCGGTTCCAGTTCTGGAGGCGGTGGGGCTGGTGTGTCGGGCGGCTCGGCCATGGCTTCAGCGGCTTGGATCATCATGGGCACCTGCGAAGCAGCTCGGTATCGGCGTCGGCCGTCCCCGCTGATGTTTGAAACGCTTGTGGTCACATGTGAAGCAGTTGCTGTATGGAGTCACTGTCGCTCCCTGACTCTGACTCTGAAGCAAACATACTAAAGTATAGAGCCTCCAAAAAGCGCTGGAATGGACACTGACCTTCTTCCTCAAATTGAGTGGGGTCAATGTATTAGGCAAATATACCATAAATGGAGTGTCTGGGAGTGTTTTCCTTTAAGAATCCTTTTAGAATCTCTTATATAGTCCGTTCTTTCGGACGTGTGCATTCGTCTGCCGCCTGAAGCTCAGTCTTCGAGACCTGCCGCCAAATCTCCGGCCCCAGCCGTTCCTGCCACTCCTGAGGTTCCCGACGTCCCCAGGTCCGACGACGGGGACGACGGTGAACCCTGTGCATGAGCCTCTCTCTGGCCCCTCCAACCCACCTTTCGGCACCTAACACAGGGGAATAGGATGAACACGGGATGATCTCAATGTCAAAGCCAAACAGTTGCGGCACGTTTGAACCGCGCCAACAGGTTTTCACCGGTCGAAAGGACACATGCATGGGTCACCGTAATCACCCCACTTTTGAAGGAAGTTTCGTGCGAAATCGTCTCGCCGAGAAAAAAGGAAACACACCAAACCATGCCATGTAGTGCCAAGAAAGAACACAAAAGAAAAGTCAAGACTCAACAGGTCTCTTCACTTCTTTTTGTGCAGTGCCTGAGCCCTTAAATAGATGCATTATTATACATTGTTGATGCTATTATCTACGATTCTTCTTCTCTTCCTGTAGTTCTGCTCTTCTTCTGCTTTCTGCTGAACTATGCTGAAATGCATTGAAAACTCCTAGTGAGAAGTCACAAAATGCAGTAAACGGCTTGAATGTATGGGAACGTCACCAAAAGCCCTTCTCAGCACTGGGAAAATCATGGAAAACAACCAAACTTGCAGGGTCTAGCAAAGGGTCCACAACTGAACCACGAGATGAATACTTATGGGTGGAGTCTGGAAACCCGAGGTGCGCGCACTTGGTGGGCTCCACCAAAGCACAGAAACAAACGATCCAAACAACTGACGTTTCACTGCTTCTGCAAGCTCTTTAGCTCACTGATCAAGGCTCTTCAGGCAAAATCTTCACAATGAACTTCACCTCTGCGCAGCCGAGGTGACGCGGCGAGTTCACGATGAACGAGACCACGATGAGCTGCGCCGACAGCGATGAAAGGCTTCAAAGAGCTTGAGGTCTCTTCATTTGATGTTGGTCGGTGTTATCCCAGTCACCTCTCTCAAGCGACCCACTCTTCATGACTCCCATGGTGATCGATTGCGCCCAAACCTGTTCTTCCGCCTTTCACAAAACTGGCCCAACAACAAACCCACAGCTCACAGCACATCTTGCTAAACCCAGGCGGCATAGTCCATGAGCTCCCTTCGCAGTTCTTCCGCTTCCAAGTGCCTCTGCGTCCTCATGCGCTCTCCTCAGGCCAATCGATCTTGTCGCGCGCACGATCGCGATGCCCTTGGCGACCGAGCGAAAGAGAAGGCGTTGGGCGGACGTCGGAAGGTGCATGGGCACTGTCGGGAGCCCTTTTTTCAGCACGCGGCGCCAACATGTTTCACCTTCGTGGATGCCAACAAAGGTTGAACGACCCTGAATTGTATAGACTAGTGGCTATCGCATAGGTACTCCAGTAGGGTCCTAGTTCAGGTCACTTGACCTCTCTTGAGTTCGTGACTCGTGTGGCTTCGACAGCCACACGCGGCGCCGACATCGATCGTTGATCTGATCACCCAGCTGGGCGAAACAAACCCCGGCTTCCAACCCGAGCAAGCATGGTAATCAACCAGTGTTCCCTGCAGCTACTCCACTACAACTTGTTCAGCAAGGTCCTACCATGTGGTCTTGGAATCCTAGGGCAACCACATCCTCAGGTGTTTGGGCCCGGATTCCGGGGAATACGCCCTCATCCGTCCGTGTGGCTGGGGGACCTGTTAGTGAGTGGCAAAAATAGGTATCGCGTTGGTGACCGATTCACACCGCCCCTTGACCGGTGTGAATCGAAAGAGACGCCCAGCGGCGAGTCTTGCGCAACTCCTCCTCTAAGAACCTGAGGAAGAAATAGGCGTGAGAAGTCTAGACATGGCGGATTCAATTCCAGATCCAAAAAGAATTTATACTCCGGCTCACTACCATGGAAGTGAACAAAGAACGTGTTCGTAAAGGAAAGTCGTCCAAGGCACCATTGTCCACTTCCATCTTCGTTGTCGTCAGAGTGTACGGACAGTGACCATGTCTGACACATCTGATAGGGCTTCTCCTCTACAAGTAGGTGCCACTTACATCCACTTCACCAGCTCGCCTCTCGGACTTGTCTCGCACCGACCAAGCGACTGGCGGTCCAAACCGACCGGTTGAGCTCCGGTTCACCGGAGCTCCAGCTCACCGAAGTTCACCGAGAAGGGCATCCCATGGGAACCAGAGGGCCCCACTCACTGTCCCGGGCCGAGATCTCGGTCCAACTCGGGGGGGGTGACTGGCAGTGAAGCTGAAAGAGCTGACTTGGGGGAGACGACTTGGGATCGTTGTGTTTTGCCTTTCTCAAGTCTTTTCATCTTTGGACTCAGATGTGGCCGGTCGTACAAAAGCTGAGGATCGCCCTCTCAGTCCGATATCACATCGACACGACGGCTATATATCCTCACCACCGATCGCCGACAAAGAAACACCGATCGCCACGATCGCCCAAACTAGATCCCATCTGCAAGCACCCTCCAAAGAAATAGTTTAATTATTGGTTTTTCTTGAACATCTACTATCTAGTCATCTATCTACTTACCCTTGCCAGCTCCAACCCACGACTCACCTGCAAACCAAGGCACTCGGCCTTTTCCTTGGCGCGGTGCAGCTCTTCTGCACGCTCCGACTCTTGTAGCCTGCGGTGGTTTTGGTGTGGCAACTTGTGCCCGGTGTGCCTGGTGTCTCGCACGGTGTAGCTGGGGCCCTGCGATCTTTGGAGGGTGCAAAGGAGTTTCCATGGGGGTTGGCCACAGGTGCTTTCTGGCAAAGTATCAGAAACCTCTGAAATAGCTCAGGTAGTGTCGACTTGCACAATTTGTCGATATAATATATTATTATATATTAGGTTGTTGTTTCTTCCCCAAGGGTGTGTGTGTGTTTCTACCATGCAGGCTTGGTTCTATGGACTGAAGACCTCCCGCGGCGAGATCAAAGTAGATGCCACAAGCCCAAGTTAAGGTGGCTTGCACATGTTTAGATTGAACAATGCAATCGAATACAATATTTACAATGCATCATCAAAATGGCCGAATGGATTGCCGTGCTACAAACTCTGAAGTCATCGTCATGGTTTTATGTTGAAAAACAACTTGCATTTCTCCAACCACTGCTCGCCTTTTCGCCGCCCACTGTGCGGCACATGTCGCTACAACATCCTCTTACATCGTATCGCAAGGCTCAGATTTACAACTGGTCATGTGATGTCATGAGTTTCCTGTCCTCTTCCAAAACGGAAAGAAGGACAATCCATCTATACATCATCTAGCCAGCCACCGGTCGTCCTCGCGGACCACGCGCCCCGCGACGCAGCCGGTGGTGCCGCATCGCCTGACCCGCAAGTCTTCGATCTCAAAGCGGAGGCTCTTCCTCCGAGCGAAGGGCGACCGGTCGGACCGGTCCGGACCAGCCGGTCGGGCGGGAGACCGGAGAGGCGGGAGACCGGATCGAGCTTGGGTCAAGTCGAGCTTTGGATGATGGGTTCCATTCCCTGTCTTTTTGATTGGGAACACCTCGAGAAAAACCAGTGCTTGGAAGACATGAAGGGAACCTTAAGCGAATATGAGAACGAGGAGGTTGCTATGTGTTCGACCTGTCACGCCACTCACACAAAGTGTCAGTGGAAGTGGCGACTACAGTGCTTCCAAGACTACAGCGCTGCAATCCAAACCTGAGGACTGCAAGCAACATCTTTATCCCAAACGCGACATGTTCTTGCTTCTCATGGGTTTAGCTGATCAAGCTTCAATGCTCTTGCGTCTTGATCCTAAGCTGTGGTGTGTCCCGTGATTGTGTTGAGATGGTCTGTGCATAGTACTGCCAAATGTGGATGTGCCACTGCAATTAGCACAAAGACCTTGCGGTAAACCAGTGAAACATGCATGGTCATGTCTGTGCTATTTAGTGCGATTTTGGTGCATGATACTATACATGATTATATATGTTACGTACATATGATATATATCACACATATATATATATATATACATATATCTACTATTGTGTGTATACTGTATATGCTGAAGATGAACACCACATGTAGTTTATTACTAGACATGAACCTGGAGAATGCCACCGACCACCGACGCACACGGCTTCACGTGAAGTCATTCAGTCTTTCCACTTTGAAGAACCGCCGTGCAGCGGAGAAAATGAACAGGATCAGTACCAGCAGTCACACCGCTTCACTGGATAGGGGTGCCCATTATCCACTCACTTAGGGACTGAAAACCACTCCTTTGTGACTCCCCTCCCTTGAAGTCTCCCACCATGGCGCCCATTCATCCGCCCACCCGTCGCGTGGCGATGTCGCTGTCTGCTTTTTCATACCGAGTCGCTCCACATCTTGTAACCTGAGTTTCGACAACGAAAGAACGGCACTCCCTGGAATCATCATGGAAGTGGAGTTCATCACCTAATTTGGTAAAGGATTGCATGGTCGTCCGGGGGGCCCATTGTCCCATCAACATGTACATTCCCCAAAATTCCTAGCCCAAATCCCAAACGGCTTTTGGTCCAACCCCTATATTGAGAACCAAGTGTGATTTGAGCCAAGAATCCTCACAGATTCTTGAAAGCGAATCCCTGAACCAGGAACCACCGTTCTCCACCTGACTCTCCACGGCACAGCCGTTCACCGGATGGCCACCACCACCACCGCCAACGCCGTTCGTTCGGCCCCACCGCCCCGCCCCCGGGTGCCACGACCAGCCAGACGAAGTCGGAGCGCAGAAGAGGATCGCTGCAAATGAGGTTCAACGGCGCAAAATTCTTTTGGATGGCTAGACTTGGCTGTTAAACAAACACACACATATTATATAATATATATATATTTAAAAGAACACAGCAGCCGCCTCTTTTTCCCACAATCTTGAGCCAAACATGTCCGGTGAAGTGAAACGTCAATGACTGGATCATGTGAAGGCTACATTCATCAAGATTCCTATGACTTGCATGTCATGTGAGACTAAATTCAATACAGTGCTTGGTGACACATCGAATGCGAATCTTGCCTGCAGAGATGCCTTTCTTTGGTTGCTCAAGGACTGCTTCCCCTGGCGTGCCAGATGCATCGACCAGGGTGCATTGCTAGTGGATTAGGGGTGGTGTTTTTACCCCATGTCTCTCTCCTCCCCCTTCACACATTAACAGCTTTAGTGGAAGATGGGTGCTTCGAGAGATTTGGATCCACGACGCCCAAAAGCTCCAAGGCGTGACTCCCTCCATTTGGAAACAGGCAACGGTTTCGTCATGGGATCAGCCTTTTGATGGTCCGTTTTTATATAAAGCAATTTGGCACTGCCATTTGAGAACGTTTCGTATAGAGAGGATAGGTTGATTCGATGGTGCTTCGAAACATGTCGGAGTTTGGGGCTGTAGCCCTGGCCGCAGATGGTTATCACGGCGCTGTTATCCTGGAAACACACCAATTCAACTTCTCTTCTGAACACTTCTTCAACGAATTCAGCAACTGGCAAGGCGTCAAATACACCGTGGGCAAGTGATATGATCTCGGCCTCTGTGGTCGACCTAGCAGTGGCACCCTGTCTCTTACTGTGCCACGACAGTGGCCAGTAGGACGACGGTCCTTCCACGCACAGCAAACCACCAGAGGTGCTCTTTGCATCCTCCACGGCGCTTGAGTGGTCCGCATCGGTATATAAGACCAGTCGTAGGTCTTCCTGACGGTCTGCGATTTTGCCCTTTAGGCAGAACGCTTTGGTCTCGTACAGATAGTTCATCAATCTGTGCAGACGGCGGTCATCGGCACGACTCCACTTCGTGACACGGCGGGTGAGGTCCCCTATTGCCTTGACCGTGTCGGGCCTGGCGAGTCTGCCCGCCCATAGGGCTTTCATCAAGACCTTACTGGCATCACTTGCTAAGGCACCGCGCTCCTCCCATTCATTCACTGGAATGGAACCTTCTGGCAAGTACGGAGATGCAGCGCCCTTCAAATGGCATCCCTGAAAGGTTTTCATACATTTGGCATGCTGAGTTGATGAAATCTACCATGTCGAAGTAAACCTCAGTCTCCCCATTTTCTCGTTTGAACAAATGCTTCCTGCCAAGACAACGATCCACTGGGGTCGGTTCTTCTATTTCAAGATGTTTTTGCAGGGATTCCCAGAACCCTTTGTGCAAACCTGGTGGCCCTGAAAGCAAAATGTCATCGACGTACAATGTGAGGACTAGACCATTCTCAAAGGTCCAATTCGACTGTCACTTCACGGAATCTTGCATCCCAATGGAAACCCGATTCCGGGTGTCCGTACAGCGCCTTCTTCAAGGGCGCTACTGGCATTTTGATGTGGGCGAACTCTTTTGGTACTAGCTCCGGAGGGAGTAGCACCCATGTGTCCACCACTGTTCGCAAGACACTTTGAGTGTATGCACGCACCACGTCCGACTGTGAACTGTCATTTCCGGGAAGTGCACCGTAGCTCAAGTTGAAATTGATTGCTGTGATTCCCGGGGGATTCACTTTGAGTTCGTGCAGGATAGCGATGTTATTGTCTTGGTCAACTATCTGATCTCCGCGGAACACTATTCTGGCCTTCAACTTTCGCTATTGCTTTCAGCGTGCTTCATGGACAGGATTGTCATGAGACGACCTAGGTTGAATTTGCCACCCGACTTCATCAATTCTTCTTTGGAAATGATTTTGCTAACATCCCAAACTTCATTTGCTAGAAGACCCTCCAACTCTTTCTTGATAGCTTGGTCAGCCCCCGGATACTTTCCCCAATCTCGACGATCGATCAACTGATGAACACCTAAGGGAATTTCATGCGGGACATGTTCTGACTGAACAAACGGACAAGTCGGCATGGTTGGGACGGAATCACCATCAGGGTACAAGCTGTTCGAGATCGTTTGCGCCATCTCTTCAGTGTAGAAGGCTGACTTCCCTGTGCTTGAACCTTCCAAAGGACTGTGCTTGAAGTCTTTTGGGTGTTGGCATCGGTATGAGCCAAGGTCTTTTGCCAATTTTCTTGAGGATGTAACAATTCTCCATGTCTTCAGATGTGGCTCTCCTTCTCTGTCTTTCAAACCAAAGGCGCAGCCGTCACAGCATGTCTCATACAAATCATGTTTCTTGACAAACTGCAAAAGCTCGGTCAACATCCAACCTTCGCAATGTTTGGGCCATTCGAAAGCAATGTGTCCTCCGTTTTGGGGAATTCTCTCGGCAACCTTTATGTAGTTAGCTAAGAGTTTCTTGCTTGTTATTCTCTTGGCTTTCAACTTCTTTGCGTAGGATGAACCATATCGATGCAAACACATTTTCTGCCAAGGACTCCGTGAACCACATGGAATGCTTCCCCAAAGGTCGGCCCCCTTGAACATGTCTACCAGCGACAAAAGGCTTTTGATGTCTTCTTCGTTTTCTAAGTTGGTTTGTTCTCGATGCAACCGAAAATGCGGGACCCCCCTTGGTTCGTTAATACTAGTTTCGAGTCTTTGCTGCAGCAGAATTCAAACATTGCATGGCTTTTGCCGGACCTAATCCTCCTTTCACTGGGCGGTTTCAATGTCTGAACGTTTTTAACTTCTGCAGGGACCGGAGTCAAACCAAGGATCGACGTGACAGCATCAAGTCCTCGAGCGGGTTCCTTCTCGACACTGCTTGTCATGGTCATGATTCTTGCTTTCACATTCTCGGGCTTCTCCTTTGGGAAGAAGTATGTGCATCCTACCCAACTTCTTGAACAAATGCGCCTATTCGGTGACATGGATTGCCAATCTGCAAGCAGTGAAGTCTTGTTTCTACAAGTCCAAACAGTTTGACGTTCTGTTGTCACTTCGAACGGATCGAAAGGACAGTCATTTCGGAGCGGTGTGAACAAACGCTCCCTAGGACGGACATGGATTCTCTTCCATGCAGCTTTGGCCTCATCAAAGTCCCAATAGTCATTCAATGCCTCAGCATTACAGCAATTTCAACGCTTTGGACGCGGGAGTCTCATTCGGATGCACAGGACACGGATGTGTGATTGCATGGGCTACAACAAAATACTCGATGCTCCTAGGCCAAAAGGCGTGCGGCAAACCTGACTTGAGATGGATCGCACGTGTGCCTTCTTTGATCCTTCGGATCAAGCTTTCCAACTTTGAATTGTGATACGGGTCATTCTCAATCCCTGGTTCACTCAACCAGCCCAAGTGTTCAACAGCTTTGGTCAATTCTTGAGCACAGTCAGTTTTCACAAGGCCAGAAGACCTAGGGGAAGCTCTGGTTCCAGCAATCTTCTGAAGACACAGGATGTTCGAGTCAGTATCTCTAGATGTCATGGAGTACGCTCCAATGCAACCTGAGAATTCGTCAAAACAAACAAGGCATGCTTGCTCACCACCAGCACCTTTGGTTAAATCTGCCCCTAAAATGATGTGGTCTGCCCTCATCATATGGCCATAGTGGAGTGGAGGAATTTCATCCTCACCTGGTGCCCCCCCTTGACCGATGAACTCGACCTGTCATCTTTGCCCTCTGGCATATTGAACAGTAACGGTTCTTGGGGAAGTGACAAAGTTGATGAGCTTCACTTTTGGCTTCCTCTTCAAGGCGTTCACGAAGTGATGGGGTCCAAGGGTTAGCCTCTTCATCTTCTTCATCTAAAGGGGCATCCAAGGGTTCCGCTTTTGGTTCATCACACATCATGAGTTCATCACCAAAATGAGGAAGAGTTTCTGGTTTCTCTTTCAACACTTTATCACTAACTTTTGGCAAATCTAATGGTGCTTCAACACGAGGTTCTGGCTCCCGAACAGGTGCTCCTGCAGGTCGATCTCTCGACCCTGAACTCGGACCTCCAATTGGTTCCGTGTCTGAGTCAAAGGCGACAGGTCCTGGACTGGCTTCCAAATCTGCTGGTGCTGCACCTACCCACTCATGAATGATCGGAACATTCTCTCGAACTTCCATGTGAATCTTTGCCGATTCTGGGCAAAAGTGCTTGAGATCACCAAGACGGTCCGCCTTGATCATGTAGGGCAATTCGTCTGGCAGCCAAACAAACCCTCGTTTGTGTTGGTTTACTTGAATTCCCAAAGACAACGCATGAGGACATGAATCCAAAGTGTAGAAAGTGTTGAGACCGCTCACTTGCCCTTGGAGTTCGATGGCTTTTGTGGTCTTCCTCTCCCCACCCCCCCGTTCTAAAGATCAGGTTCTCCGGTGGGTCAATGATAAAGCCTCTCCAATCGTCGGGCATCGAGTCTTTCGACAACAGATTTCTTCCCGCACCTGAATCCATGAGGAATTCCATCTGACATGGATGCGACGCCAATGCAGGGACACTTGAATGATCAATCTGGGACATCGGATTGCAGCATGTCATGATCGTAGTCACAGCTTTGGCCAACAACTGGACACAAGGGACTCTCAAGGAACTCCGAGTGACCTTTCTGCAAACCTTCTTTGCTTCTTTCAAAGCGGCTTCGGCTGACGGGATCGATGCGAATGCAGTTGCAGCAGCTACGGAAGCGGCTCCAGCATGACTAGAAGAACTAGCACCAGTACCAGACTTCATACGAGGTTTCGGGCCTTTGTACAAGTTCCCTTTGTCATGGAGGAATTCACAAGAATCGTATGCGAAGTACATGCATGGCAGTTTTGCTTTCTGCTCCTTGGTTAGCGGTGGCTTGTCCTCCTTGTTCTTGCCTTTGCCATCTTTCCCTTTCCCTTTTCCTTTTTGGGCAAATGCTGCATCAACATTCTTGTCTTCATCAACCTTCTTGGACGTTTTGGGCTTGTCCTCTTTCTTGACCTTTGTGTCTTGCTCTGGCTTCTTGTCCTTCTCTTTCTTTGTCTTCTCTTCTTTCTTCTTTTTGTCTTTTGCTTCCGCTTGCGCCCCTCCAACCTTTGGATCTAAGCCTGCTGAGGTGAGAGCTTTGTCCATTGATGTTGTGTTCAAATCCATTTGGGATATCTCAATGGCTTCACACATCTTGCTATACAACCAACGGCTGGTTCGCTTGTAGCTACCAGCGTGTGCTTCCCGAAATTTGTCAATTGCGAGCGCCATTTTGGGGTGATTCTTGAGGCTTTCAAACAACAATGATCTCAGCGACGTTTCAGCTGGCATCTCACTAGGTTCAAGAGCGCCTACGCAAAAATCATATCGCTGTCGAAAGTCTTCAAGTGCCTTGATGTCACTACCGTTCATCTTCAATGACAAAAGGTGGTGCTGACTGAGTGCCGTTCCGCGGTCGCGATCGAGTCGAAACTTTTGGAAGATCAACCACAACAGCTTGCGACCTTTCGGTTGTTGATCATGTGTCTGACATCTCTCTTGGTGGGTCTGAAACTCCAAGGCAAAATTTGTACCCTTTGCTGCTTCTAGCAACTTGGCGCCTAGGATTCGATCCAAGATGGGAAAGTCCTTTGCATTATTGAACTCTTTTCCATCTTCCGAGATGTTGCAACGATTGATCCAACGGAACACGATGCTTTCATCATTCTTGGCAAACTTGCAAACCCCACTGAACACTGCGTTTCGGAAACTCCGGCATTTTGCTGCGTCTTGAGGCAAAGCAGGAATCTTTAGATAGTCATACTGTTTGATACGCATTAAGCGTTTCTCTCGTTTGTAGGGGTCCTCCGAATCGCTTGATGAACCATCTCCACTTGGGGATTTTGGTGGTGAATCTCCGCCCCCCTCCAGGGTTTCTGTTTGAACCCTTTCCTTTCGAGTCACTTGAAGAGGATGAAGAATCACTTCCTGGCGGCGATCCGGGGACTTTGCGGCGGTCTCTTGATCGGTTCGATGATGGCTGATTGCCCAATTGCACAGGGTTTGCCGTCAATCCACCCATCAATTGCTGCATTTGAATGGTCAACTGATGCACTTGCATTTGCAAAGCCGTGTTTTGGTCACTTTGGATTTGAAGCCCGATCTGATCATTTAGCAAGGCAGCGGGAGGCAACATTGGATTAGCCTTTGGCATCTCTCCTGCACAAGCGGACTGAGTTGGTGAAGGTGCCAAATGCAGCTCTTCACCTTTGGTTCCTGTGGCAATGGGCGTCAATGCAAACGAAGGCAACGCGACCCGCGACTCTTGCATTGGTTGACCCTGGAATGCGACCGTGCCAGGATGGTAGGATTTGGGAGTTGCAATACTATGCACCACCGGAACCAATTCACCCATTCCATGAACTTTCATTGATGGACTCGGCTGACCAACACTTTTAGGATTCCTATCAACGAACGAGGTTGCCTTTGGCGGCGGACTGCAAGGATGGATGGTGCTTGGATCCCCTGGAGTACCACTCTTTGCAAGGGACTGCAACCTTTCATCTTGATCCTTGATCCTCCTCATCATTGCTTCCATTTGACCCCTCATTTTTTTCACTCATTTGCCTGGTTGTGGACTCCAATGCTTTCTCTCTTTGGTTCAATGCACCGGTCACTTCAACCACCTGGTTCGTGCGATCAGTTCACTAAAGCCTTCAATTGCTCAATCTGGTTTTGGTAATTAGCAACCTCTTGATGAGACTGATTCACCAAACGGGTAGCTTGACCCTGGGTTTGACGGACCAGCTCATGAGCTTCTTCTTGAGACTGCTGAACCCAGTTCCTGGCAGTGGATTCTACCGCCTGGATTTGAGACCTGGCTTGGTTTTCAATGGATTGAACCTGACTCTGGATTTGGGCTTGAGCATTCGATTCAATACCCTGGATCTGCTGAAGGGCTTGGTTCCTAAACTGGCTCTCCATTGCTTGGACATACTGAGCAGTCTGGTTCCTAGCATTAGCTTCAACTTCAGAGGCGTATTGAATGGCTTGACCCTGCACTTCGGACACGACCTGGTGAGCCTGAGCTACTACCAGAGGGTTCAAATCCAAAAGATTGACTGACCTGGCATCTGTGAAATGAGACGACTGGTTGCTTTCGAACACAATCTGTCTTGCATCAATATGACCAATGGTCGGTTGCTGGTATTCAACATCCGTCCTTGCTGTTGGGTTTTCTTGATTACTTTGAACCATCGATGAGTGAGATGTTTCCGTCAGGGATGACAAACTCGTATCTTGGATAGGAGTTGCAATGGCTTCCCCAAACATGACAATCTGTTCACTCTCCGGTGAACCATGCGCACTTCCTACTGATCCCTCCATCGCTTCTTTTCAAAGATCAAACGACGTCTACTCGGCTGCAATGAAATTCTCAACTGCCTCCTTCGTCCAGCCGTCGCTCAACCAATGGGCGTATGAATACGCTGACCTTCCGTCCAAGCTCCTCTTCCGTGAAAGCTTAATGTGAATCCCTGTTGCCCTGTCGGTGGCCAAAGTGGCTTCCAACTCAGAAAGGATATCAGCACTGTCGTCGATCAAACAACAAGACAAGTGATCTCCCAACCGTTCGGCAAATCTCGAGATGACTGCAGCCTTCCCTGTCGGACCCTCCGGCTCGAACGTACAAATGATCCCGTCAAACAAGTGATGAATCCCTTCGCTGTTACTCCAAATATCCTTGCACGCTTGATAGCGCCCCGAACTCCCAATGAAAGAAAGAACGAAAACAAATGGAATACGCTCGTGATCCAACGCAAACTGTCTGAACTTCTCAATCGCCTCAATGTTCCCGACTCCCACGCGACCTGTCTGTCTGCAAGTATCGCTGTGATCCCTGTCAAGAACCTGATGGTGATCAACAAAAAGGACCTTAACCTGGCCAATGTCTGCGACTGCTCCCAAATGCACTTCCTGTGACTCCCAACGAGTATAGCGACCCTCCGCTGCCTCAAAGGTAAGGAAATGTACCGTGTCCGGCAGAACAATCGAGACTTGAGCTGGCTCTGGCCTCCGCGGCAGTGCCTTAGCAAATGCCCTTGGCGTAAGGCCAATCACTGCAGGCGGTACCGGAACAGCGGGCTCAGGCCTAGGTGGCAGTGCCGAAGCAGCTAACCTATGCGCCTCCTCGAATCGAGCTCTGTACGTTTGAAGAACCTCCTCAACAATCGTCACCCGACTCTGTGCGCAAAAGTTAAAAGACGTAACACCGTTCAGCAAATGCGGATGTGTCAACGCAAAATGCCCCTCAGCCACGCCCTGGCGAATGAACGCCCTCTTCTGTGCTCGGCCGCTCTTTCCAGAGCGAGGGAACCTCAGAAGCTTGTGGAGCTCCTCGTACTCGGGATGCTCCGGATCAGAATAACCCCCTTCAGGCGGGGGTGGACCAGTGGGTTCAGTCGGTCGACGTGAACCAGAGGAAGATGCGATGGCTGCAACGACGGCCAACAACCGATCGCAAAGCGATACGGCTGATAACCAAAAGAACACAGCAGCCGCCCCTTTTTCCCACAATCTTGAGCCAAACATGTCCGGTGAAGTGAAACGTCAATGACTGGATCATGTGAAGGCTACATTCATCAAGATTCCTATGACTTGCATGTCATGTGAGACTAAATTCAATACAGTGCTTGGTGACACATCGAATGCGAATCTTGCCTGCAGAGATGCCTTTCTTTGGTTGCTCAAGGACTGCTTCCCCTGGCGTGCCAGATGCATCGACCAGGGTGCATTGCTAGTGGATTAGGGGTGGTGTTTTTTACCCCATGTCTCTCTCCTTATTTATTTTAAAAAATACATATAACATATATATATATATATATGGCACACCTATTTTTTGGGGGCGGGCGTCAGAAGTGCACAATATTCAACATATTGACAGAACCAAGAGAGACATTGACCTCATATAGTTCTATTCAAACATCCCGAATGGATTTGTCCTTCCACTGGTCACCGAGCCCAGTTTTATACCGAGATGCCGAGAGATCTCCGCGTCGCCCAGCTTGACCTTGGTGAGGATAGGCATCGATAGGCATCGTTTTGTTGAGTGACTTGATGCGGCGTTTCTTGTTCCAAAGTCCATACATATACTATGTTATGTTCTACTTGGCTGCCATCTTAATCACTATCTTAATCTTATTGATCAAACATTGCCAGTAGGAGCCTAGATCCTCTATATACTGTAATTTGATCGAGACTGTCTGATGCGTGGATAGTAGGCAACCTCCAAGAGGTTGATCCAGCTTGTCAAGGTCGCTAACCCATGTAAACTTGAGTTTGCTGAGTTTACTGTCGGATGCACCTACCCGGCCCACCATTTCAGTGACTCCAGAGTGAGTCTCCCCTTGAATTACAACATGGTGGGAAAGCTCGATCCATGAGCAAACAGGGTGCAACATCTACATTGACATCTCCTGTAGTCACTGTAGTCCCTTCTGGCAGGGTCAATTGGCTGGGCTCTTCGGCCAGGAAACAAAGAAGTCGAACAAAACCAGGGAGACAACTTACCCACACCAACACGCTTAGGAAAATGTTCTCTCCTGGGGGTTGGTCTCAGTTCCTATGTAAGTAGGACGAGGCGTGGCACGAGGCTTGACCGGAGTGGCCGCTTGACGGGCGACTGGTGGCCGCTTGACGGGCGACTGGAGAAACATTGCCAAATGGACTCCAGAATCCCAAGCAATCCAGAAGATCCTGTTCTTTCAACATCTTTCAGCTATATTGTCATCCACATCATTGTCTACTCACTCAGCGCTCGCTCCGCTCGGTGTTGACACACCACCGAGCTCGCCGCCGCCCGTTCGGCGCGAAAGGCCCGTTCCTCGGTGACCGTTCGGGTGACCGAGCTGGATCTTCAAATGAATCGCTTGTATGTATATGGATCGCTTTAAAGGGACTAAGATCTGTTTGTATATTGGCCAACAATTGAAAAAGCCATTTTTCTTCGTAAAGATTAGTAACAACAAAAACTAACATGACTTTTCTCAGGATGAAACCATCCAGGCTCTCTATTACGGCTTATTGATATAACTTATATATATATACCATTCGAATATTTTTGAAGTATCTTTTTGTGTCATCATCTCAAATGGCGTCTGTCGCTCTTCGAACCGGTGACATTGGGGGGCGAGTTTTGAGGGCCAAGCGTCCGTATTTGGATGCAGATGTCTTTCCCAGCTATTCATGGTGGAAGTTCAATTTTCGCAAAACACACCCACTTCTTGATGAAGGAGTCAATGTCACCTCATGTGCCCGGGAATTATTTCAAGATGTTTCAAGTACCTCCTTACAAACGAACTAGCGGCTAAGATATAGTTATATACTGACATGCAGCCTGAAAACCAATCGTGCTTGGAGGCAAACCGCCTTCGGTGGATTTTCAGGGCCATGAAAACCGTGTTCGGTGTGTAGGTTGATCACATCCGAGTATGTTACACACCCCCCTGAAACGGTCCTGGAAGTGGATCGCATAACCCCAAATAGAAGACCATGAAATCCTCTACAAACAGGTGGTGAACTCCACTTCTATGATGACTTCGGGGAGTGTACTGTAGTTGGCATGCCTTCCCTGGGAGTTTTTTCAGCACACTCCTCCTCAGTAGGTACGGCTGAAGCTCTCTGAAAGTGCCGGAAGTTTGCTTCCATGCCAAAATCATCAAGGAAACAACGTTCCTCCACCAAACTGTGTTTACATGTATGCAGAAGAGACATGATAACCATCTGGCAGAAACTCATGGCATGAGAGGACCAAACAAGCGCAGTTCGGCGAGGATCTTCGGTTTCTCTCTGGAGCGCATCCAAGTCCTGTGGCACCAAAGAGAAAGTCAGGCACAGAACAGTCCGAACCCGGCATCTCGGGTGGGGCAGAACCGATCAGTTCTACATTCTGCATGCAGCTTCACCATGTAACTGACATGAAACATCATCAAACTCAAGGCTGCATCATACAAATTTAGAACGTATCTTGATAATTGGGTGGTGTTCTTACATTATCAACTAAGCCAACATCATAAAACATCCTTCCCTGAAAAATCTATGGTGCTGTGCTAGGGAAACCCTTAAAACATGCCCCCCTTGTTGCATCGCCTCGTTCGCATTCCTTGTTTCACCGCCTCCGGGTCGGTCCTTGAGCTCTTTCGCCTGGGCGGCCTCAAGCTCAGCGACTCCTTAGCTCCAGCCGAAGATGAACAACAAAAGACATTAACATTATGACCTTAACTAATATATTATTGATTACAGTGAGTAACACGTATATGGAATCAATTGGTTCTTGTAATTGTGAGCTTGTATACACCATATACAACCCCACATATATATATATATATATGTATATACAAGAAATGGACAAGCGAAACATAGCGAAACCAATCAGTGACATTCAGATCATTTAGTTCGTTGCAGCAAATCCTCGGTGTTTCCGATGTAACATATACAATGCGCCGATGTAACATATACAATGCGCCTGTCCTCTTCATGCGAAAACACACTCCTAAGCCTTGTCAGTCCAGTGGATGCAACTAACAGTGGCCAGCCACGGGAACCCGGGGGATGGATGCCAAACACACAGGGTGGCAGAACCTCTTTATTCACAAAGTCAGGGCCAATCCGTTTTGCTAGGGCACGCTGAAGCACGTTGAAAAAGAACATGTTGAAGACTTGGACTGAAACAGCATGGCAAGCAATCCCGAGCAATCCCTTCTTCGTGCTAACCTGCAAACGAGACGGCCAAGCTGGCTGGGTGACGCCTCTGAAAAAAACGAGACCTGTGAAAGGAACATGTGCCCAGCTCGTTCCTGGAGGGTCCAAGGACGTCCAACGATCTACGACGTAGCTGGCGCAGGCCGGGTGGACCCTCGTTCTTTCGTCGATGTGTCAAGTGAGTCACCACAGGGTGACGAAACATCGTGCTCAGATGAGCTATCACAAGGCTGGGCCATAAGTCTCACAAGGCTGGACTTCTTGATCCATCGATATCATTCACCAACATTGCTTTTTTGACAATTGTCTTTGCGCATGTATAAGCAATCGGCAGGAAGCGAACAAAAAGCATCCCATGAATTTTGAGATCAAGCATCTCCTCTCACAGGCCTCTGTGGTCTCAACCATCTGAGCCTCTGCCGCTGCAATTCCTTGGGTGCGCTGCGTTCGACGTCCCGTTCGTTGTGGCGCGCGTAGGCAAGCCACACCCTTTCGCCACATAACATGGTGCAACTGGCTGACTTTGAATATGTATATATATATATAAGTCCCTCGGGATCCAAGTACCTTCTCAGAAAGGTGATTGGAGACTATTTATGTAGGCTTGGAGGGCCCAGTCGTACCTCCTAAGAAGGTATGTGGATCCCTAGGGAGTAAATGTTTGGAGCCTGTATGACCTGTATTGTGAGCGAGTGAGATCAAAAACGCTTGCGAAAATCCTTGTTCCCTTGCGAATCACCTAAACGCTAGTCCGCTAACTAGTCTTTTTTAATACCTTTATGACATGAATGTCTTGCATGTGCTTTCTGGGGCCTTCCTCCGAAACGGGCCCGAAACGGGAGGAGCTACAGCTTCGGATCATTCCAGGCAGAAGGCAGAAGGCTGAAGGGTGAGCCGAGACGACGCATCTGACGTGCACTGGTTGTTTTATGTATCCCAAACACTCCATGTATGGCATATATGCCGCCCCATTGACCCCCCAAACCACTCCTGGCCTGATCGGCAGTCCTATGGCGATACATGGAGTGTCTGGGTATTTTCATCTCCATGGACGGAACCCCGGTTCTGGGGGAGTGTAGTCGTTGAGTGAAGGTCGGTCTTTTCAACAACTGCGATTCTTTTGCTGTCGTCTTGAGGACGGCGGACTGTCCGGTGATGACGGATCTCCTGATCGGTGACATTCCATGACAGGTACCCAACAATTCGACGATCGACTAAAGGAAGCAAGCATGCAAGTCAAAAGCCGTGCCACTGGTGGATTCTAAGTAAGATTCTGCAAACCGCATTCGCATCAAAGCTCATGACCACGTTAGGTACCGTAGGGGTGTTGTTTGACAAGCCTCTCTCAGCCATTTCCACTCGCAGGCGTTCATTCTCAGCCTCGGTGTGGCGACGAAGCATGACGAAGCCATGCATGAGTTTGAGAGCAAGCCATGACACGATGAATCCCCCTGTCTGTCTCTTCGTGAGCTTGGCTATCCAAGCATTTGCATGGATCTGCACCCCTGAGAGATTTTGGCCGATTCGAACAATCTCCCCAACGTTTTGGTCAAGGATCCAAGAACTATTACCAAACAGAACTAGATCCCAACCACATATACCAAGCACCAAGCTCAAAACATGTGCTTTCCGATGGAGCAGCTCCCTTTAAAAGACTGACATGCTTGGCGTTGTCGCTCTCGCACGAGGGCCAGGTGGCACGATCCTCTGCGAGTTGCTGCAGGAATTTCCGCTTCCGATGCTCGAAGAAGGCCTCTCGCCCGGTGGGGAACGGGTGAGGGACGCTCAGCGCGAGGTGTGCCGCTTCAAACGGTGGGAATGCGGAGAAAGCCGGTGTTCATGGGTTTTCAAGGGAGGGGAGTCCCTAGAAATCGGTCGACTACATTGGGCACCAGCGAAGTAGAGGAAGCTCATTTTTTAGACACCCTGGACCATTAAGATCATGGATTTTGTATATATATATAGTTTCTATATGTTTCGACACGCTTTTGACTTTGGGATGCTTTCGGCTTGTTGCAAAATATCATCACTGATCTAAACCCTCCCGATCTGAGTGTATCAGTGACCTACTCACCTACTCCCAGGGCCAACGGGGCATCACATAGACCATCATACACCCCTCCAACATCGTCCAACACATTCCAACACCATCTCCGCGTTTTTGTTTTTCTCCGACTCCCTTCAACACCATATTCTGACGTCGGCTCCTGGCCTGCATGATGGTCACCCCTGCCTTGAGTGTCGTGATCTCCGCCTGCGCCACGAGTCGGGGATCACAAACAAGTCAGGGCAGGGTTGATTCCTCTCTTTCGAGTGAGCCAAGTTGGGGATTCTCAAGAGTTGTTTGATGCTACATTGCTACATGGCCTTTGGTATTGGACTCCGGTTTCGATGGACGATCGAGACAAAGCAGGTGGAGGTTTCGGTGCTCCCACCTGAGCTGGGAGGGGTTCTCCGCCTCTACACGACTCGACCGCCTTTTGGTCACCGACCAAATGGTGACCGTTTGGAGCTTGTGAACTACCTGAAGATGAGCTTCCTCCATCAACCAGTCGGTTTGAGGTTGCATGTTGGCATACGTTGACCCACCAACAATAGCACTTTGAAGTCCAAGAAACCTGGATCCCGTGAGGAAGGGGAGCCACGATATTGATCTTTTGCTCGCGCTTTTGCATCTTTAGGCTTCCCAAGTAGCGAAGACCGTTGGGTCATGGACTGCCAAGACCCCCGCAGATTGGAGCACGACGCTAGGTCGCTGCCTTCTTCTCCTTGAACCATCGTTGAGCTTCAGCCTCTGCGAAAGGAGGTGGTCTGGACGGTCTTGATGATACGCTACAAACACCGACCAATATATATAGATGAAAAACACGCATGCGCGCACGCACACGCACACCTACAAAGTTCTTGAGATCTTTGCGAGGTGAAGGATTTTGTCTATCAACTCACTTCATTTGGTGGTTCAAACTATGTCTGTCTCTATAGGAATTGTCGGGGCCTTTCGTGCATCTAACAGAAGCCCTGATTCGACCTTTGGGTGTGCGACCTTTGGGGGTGCGACCCCATGGGGGGTCGTTTCCGATGGGGGTCGCGAAACGAATGACAGCTAAGCTGTAGCAAGTCTAAGCTGGCTTGCATACAGCAAACGCTCCCCCTTGAGTAAAGTCACCTGCCAGCGAACTAACTGGTTGCTTGGAATTCAATTGGATCAATGATCCATGGATATCCATTGGCTCAAAGGCCGAAACCTGGATTTACACGTGAACACGTCGCTGGCTGCACCTGAGGGTAGGCTCACAACTTGGCCGAAACCAAGGAACAGCTTCAGGCATGGTACTTACAAAGTTCAACCTCCTAGATCTTGCATGGTCGAGCTTCTTTGAGGCAAACCCAACACCAAGGGCCGAACAACAACTTGTCCCATCGTTGTAGGACCACTTTCGCAGCAACTCCATGACCGATCGCTCGGGCAAAACCCAGATCTGATGAGATCACTCATCTTGATCTCATGATCTCATTGGGTTTAGTCTCTCTTTTGGGAGATCACTATAATAAGGCATTGCAACACCGCTCCCTTGGACGGGAGCACCGTCCTGAGACAGACGGTTCCCCCCCCTAGACGGTCGTTCGGCCGCTTCGCTTCGCTTCGAGCGAAGAAGAAGCCGGGTCAGACGAAGGAGCCTCCGCTTCCTCGAGCTTCTTGTCGTACTGTAACTCCGTTTCCGCCACCTTCTTGGCATAGACCTCGGGCGAAGTAAGAACGAGGACGGCCGTGTGTCGTGGGTGGATGGAGGAACGAAAGAACCAAACAAACAAGCAGCGGGTTCTGAAAGGAAAAACCATCACTGGTCCAGTCCAATTCACGCACCTCAATCATTTGACAGTGGGTGGCACATGCTGGCACAAACCATTTGAGGCATTTCTCCACCATTCCTCATTTTGCTGCGTGCCGCTCTAAAACTCGACTCATCTCTGGCAGGTTTCCCGCCTCGTGAAGGCTCTGCAGCTTCAGCTCCAGCTGCTTCTTCCTCAGCGAAGTGGACACCGAGAAGAGGCGATGCGATGCGTTCGAACCGAACCCAAACATGACCAGATTGACCATCCACGCCATGGAATATGTTAATTATATACATTAGGGTCGTCAATGGGGTTAATGTCTAGCCGTTGTTCCAGTTCCATGGATGGCCTGGGAAACATCAAAGAAAGGGAACACATGGCATGCAGGAAAAGCGAGCTTTCCGGCTTTTTGTCGCTGCACCAGGGAGGGGTCCCCTTTCTACAAACCCTTGCAGGTCCTAATCTACAAATGGTGAGGAGATCGATCCTTTTGTCGATCTATTGCAGCACCTCTGGCAGCCTCTTCCTGATGTGCATGCTGCCAGAAGGACCAGTGCAGCACACCGACTTTTTGGAGCTGATTGGGCCAGGCAGGGGGACTTTCCCCACTGAGATCGCTGAAATTCGATCTGTTTGGACCAGGAGTCGATCATCGGCTCGAGCACGGGGGGTCCGAGCTCGAGCCCAAACGATAACACCACGAGCTCTTTCTGGGCGATCGGGCGATCTTCGACCAGGTCCCATGATCTGATCAAAACTGCCAACCGAACTACAAGTATATATTGTCAGAATGCATGCAGCCAGCAGCCACATCATTTACTGATGATAGGCTTAGACGAATATAGATATATGATATATATATATATATATGTAATGTCTATAGTATACTTGGGTTTGCTTCAGGAACCCAACATCAAACAACATTCCCTGCCACAGTACCTAAAGGAAAAGACCAACAAAGATCTCCACAAACCACTCACCCGGCCCCACCGCGCCAAGGGGCTCCACGGGCGTCCAAACTGGCAGACCTGCGGGCGCGAGTGGACGGGACGTGCCCCGCAGTCCGGTGACGCAGGTCTTGGTCCTGGTGCCTGTAGGTTTCATGTGAAGGTTACGTGCCCCCAGAATCCCCGTTTTTATAGAATTCTATAAAATAGTTTTAGTTTTTGAAAGAACAACTCCCCCAAAGGACCCCCCAGCTTTCATTCATCCACCGATCCATCCACACGGCAGTCGGACGGTCCTATCCGCTCACATGTTGGCTCCACGGGTCGCAGGTGTTTCGTTCGTCGTTTGGATCGATGTCCCCACCTGGGCTCTGCTTGGGCTTGGCCACCGGCTTCCCCAAGCGTTTCGCCAAGCGCTCCGTGGCCTTGGAGTTCTGGTTGGTTCCGGTTAGGCAGGGCGACTTGGGAAGACAAAGAAGGCCTTCCAGGGAAAAGAGGTGGAAGGTCTTTTGGAGAAAGAATTGTACTTGGGCGATTCATGGTGCTTGGGTCAAACCGTTTCTCACTGCATGTGTCTGTTCGAGTTTCTATTGGGGACACGTTCATCGTTCTCAGTCGAGCCCAGGGGGGGGAGTTCACAGAATCTAATAGAACACGAACGCCCATGCCCGGACGTGAAGGGGTGCTTCCAAAAAGGGTGTATACCAATGCTTACCAGGTCCAGGCCTTTCCGCTCGTGTTTCGCCTTCTCCACCTTTGTTTTTCCACGCGGAACCACACTTTCAGCTTCAGCATGCCATCTTGCCGACCTCCCATCTTGGCCGTCTGTCAAGGACACCTTGGCCAATGTGGTAGAAACGTTCTACCTGAAGCTGAAAGTGTGAACCGCTTTTGATGTGCCACCTCGGATTCGACAAACAAAAGGCGAAGCCCTCGTGTTTCTTTTGTCATCTTTAAGTTATATTAGTTATAGTTGTATTATATATTTAATTTTGTTCATTGATGACATTTGGCATCACCTTTTGAGTGGTGCAGTGGCTGCACCGTTGAGGGCAACGAATACAAAGGTGATAACCAAATGGTGATTTCTGCCAAGCTCGATGAACCTTTCTGTAGTGTAGCCGCATGGCCCATTGTGTGCTATGAATTTGAGCTGGACTTCACTGTTCTCACACAGCATTTCTCGAGCTGCAAAGGTCTTCATTCACCCTTTCTTGGCATCCGACCATGCATGGAATCTGCGTCCATCCAAGGGGTGGAGAACGGACAAGTCAAGTGAGCCACTGGCAAAATGGAAGAGAGACCCCTACTCATGTGGGCAGCCTAAGTAGGATGCTGTCCCAGAAACCACCTTATTTTTTGGGGAGGCGGGCGCTCAAGTAGTCCAACGTATCTCACGCATCTCCACACATGCCCCTCATGTAGACTCTTGATCTTAAAGACACATATGACACTGTCGACAAAGTTGCGTTTTTTCCGCAAGCGGTTTCCCCGGTGGGACTGGCAACAGCTTGCATCTCAGTATACGTGGACCTAGTCTGTGCGACGGTTCCAACCTGAGGGTTGGTTGGCCAAACTTGATCAAACTGATTTACAGACTTTCATTAACTTTACTTTCACCCTTGAGTGGAAAGTACACACAGACGTGTGCACAGCCTTTGTTGAGTTTGCATATGCTTTTTGGACAAGAGGGTATGTTCTTCGGTCTTGCTCTGCTGAGGCGTGTGCTGGTGTTCCTGAATAAGACCTCCAAGCATGGAGTGTTTCCAGGGCACACGGATCAATACAGGCTGAAAACAGAAGGTAGAGCATTGCCTCAAGGCGCTCTTGTTGGTGCTGCGCTTCGTTTTTCTTTGGATGAGTTGGCAGGCTTCAGTGAACTCCTCGTCAATGGCTTCTCAAAGCAGCGGGTGACGTGGGGGGGTGTTCCCTTTGTAGTTTCGTTCTGTGGCTTCTTTCCTCTCACATGATTCATGTTGCTGCTGGTGACACCAGAGACTTCACAGTGGCGTTTCGTGACCTCCCACCAGGGGCGGAGAACGATGCGTGTGGCGGTGGCCTCGAAGCGAGGGCGGTAGAGGAGGCTTTTACAATCCCAAATGGGGGGGCCTAGGGCTCCCACTACTCCTGAGAAGGTGCTTGGAGCAGGTGCCAGGGTCTAACTAGCTTGTGAGGACCTGGTCGGAGGCGTAGAGTTGTAAAGTCAAATCCCTACGGGTCCAGCACCATTCCTCGGACGTCCTGTTTCAGGCCCCAGTTCGACCGATCGAAGTACGAACTCACCTCCGTTCGACCATCCTTTTTAGGAGGTACCTGGACCGGGAATGTCTACATACAAAGCTTAACCTCGGATGAAGGCTCTGCCCTACTTCGCCTCCTTCATCCCTCGAGCCCCGAGAGGGCTCCTCAGCTCAGTCGATGTCCAAATGTGAAGCGAGGGGCCGTCAACACTCGGTCAGCTTCCATGGCGCGACCGGTTTCCGGTGGTCAATCGGTGAAGCATCGCATGCGCACGCAGCTGATGTTGCAAAGCAGAATGCTGAGAGGTAGAGGTAGGGCTGATGGTGAAATGGAGTGACTGAACTTGTTCATATTAGGTGAGTGACCCATGAACAAAACACTCGCAAAGAATTTATCTACTTATCTCTCTATGTTTGGCAGTTTCGATCGTTCCTGTCAGTGTGGCATGTTCCTTCAAACGTCAAATTGAGGTGATGACAGAAGGACACCCACCCTTTGCTAGTCTCTTTGGGTTCTCGAATCCAGCTGGCTGTCGAAGCATCTTCTCAAATCTGTTCAACTCTCTGTCGAAGCGGGCAAGTCCTTCATGATGCTTCCTTGCATGGTCCTAATACGTGAGATGCTAAAAGCCTTCCAGCAACATATCGGCAACATATCGGTGTTCTACAAGGCCATCATCTCCTCTGCGAACCCTTAAAGCCGGCTTGATGGCAAATGCCACGATAGGATTGGACCAGCAAAACGAATCTATGAGCTCTGGAAGTCGTTTTGGGATGCTTTCACATTCCATCTGCGCTTTTGGCTGGAAGTCCCATCCCAGGAAGCTCAAGAGGCCGACGTTGACATCTCCCGAGGTCGAAGTCGCGGCGTCCCGTTTCAGCGGCCTCGGGTGGTCAAGCCCTCTGCCATTCCTTTAGCTTTCTGCGCCTGGAGCGGCAACAAAACGACCACAAGAGTTAAGATCGCCAGCATTGAACTAGATTGGGGGGAGGTTGAAGAAGCCAGGTGACATGTAATGTAGTTCAATAGTCGATGGATTTTTCTGGGTCATGCTCCAAGCAGTTGCGGGCTTTTTGCGGGAGCGCTGCAACACCTGCTGGAAATGACCAGCTGGTCGGTTGGTCTAGCGACCGATGCATTCGGGATGCCCAAAACAAAGCCACCAAAGTATATAGGGTCAACGCTGATCAGGAAGGAAGGACAATAAATTCAATAAAATAACAACCCCCTTCAGACAACCAAAACAGGGGGGACCAAATTAATGATGAGACATGACATCATGGGTCCTGGACATGACATTTGGACATCCTGGTCTGACCACATGTGCAAGTAAAATGAAATATTTAAGTGCTTCATGCTTGAACAAGTGTCTCAAACATGGACCGACTGAAAGCTGTGCAACTTGCCACGCCACCCGCAGGGCCTGCATCGCCATCTTCACTGAAGAAGCCATCCGGAGATGCACCGCACACGAGGAGCTTTACTCCGCCGCCCGAGATCTAAAAATCAGAAAATTCGACATCTGCACACACCGCCCCGCGGAGTCTTTCTTGTCTGACCCAATTTCTGTATAGAACACTACGCACAGGTTACGACTGGTATACACGCTTACACTCAACTGCAACCATCATGGAAGTGAAAAATCACCTGTTTGTAGAGGAAAACGGTCATCCAAGGGGCCATTTTCCACTTCCATGATTCTTCTTATACACCTGAGGGACCACATGTACGCCTGGTCCTGGCGTTCGGCGTTCGCATCCTTGAGACCTTCATCTGCGGGTCATGCAAAGGGCAACGGGCAACGGTCATGCGTTCGCATCAAAGCAACGAGTCCCAAGTGATGGATTTAACCTCCAGCCGAGCCGATGTCCACAGTCCAGCACTCCGGATGGGACATCTGCCTCAACCACGACGGGACAGTGCATCTCCGGAATTCGCTGTCATGTTGTTGCACGCTGGGGTTCTGTAGATCCTGGCCTTGACAGCGGTTGGGGGTCTCAATCAAGTAGCAATTTGCCTCCATGCTTTCTCAACAAATCAATCCGACCTAGTATGAAACAACATTCCCGGATGCCAGTTCCGGAAAGAGATGCAACATATGCCTATAATGGTATTCTGGTATTCTGTGCGAATCATGAGGATAGTCAGCATTTCTTCACATTGCATGGCTTGACATGCCGTGTATGTAGTATCAAGCTGTGACATGTCGCAGCTGAAATCGCCTGCTACGATAAAAGATATCTTTGTGTGCAAATCGTCGTAGGTGGCATTCAAAGGCAGTAAGTTCGTCAGTGTTACACTCCCCGAAATAATCATGGAAGTGGTACACTGCCTGTCTGCAAAGGAAAAGGGTCATTGAACCATTTTCCACCTCTCTGATTGTTGCAGGGAGTGTATGTTGAAACCAAGTGCCTCCAATATAGAAACGAGATCAAACGATGGCCGCGTTCTTCAGCTTTTCATCCCTCTGATGTCGAGGTCTGTGGCATGAAACTCGCGCCAGGACTTGGGTGCCGCCTCACCCTGAACAGAATGGACGCTCCACATGGGGTGTCAACCCATCCCATATATTGGATTCCGCGTATATGTCTGTTGTGTACATATATGATTTATGTTGAGACAGGATTAAGGAACCACCCCGTATTAACCAAGCCCAGCTCGAGCCCCCCAATACTAAACTAATAATTTAACACCTGAATTCACATGTACATCTCCCTATAATATTTTTCTTCCTAGCCGAAGCCTCCCCATATTAATATTCAAGACCAGCTGCCCCGAAAAATCAAACCCATATAGCTTAATTATTATGTTGTTTCTTTTTCGTCAGTGTCCAATATCGTCCCAATCAAAGAAAGAATCTGGTCTTCCAATCTCTTTCATCTCTCATGGTTCTCATGCTTCAAACTCTCATGATTCACACAGAATTCCATCAAACATCATCAGGTCCAGGTCATCATCTCATCATCCATCATAAGGTCATCACCTTTATTAAGGGGATGTGGTCTCCAAATACCTCCAATCTCAAACCTTGTTGATCTTCTTGACCTTGAAGGGGGGGGCGTTTATTAATTCGGTGCTGACAATTGCGTCATTTCAATTCGTGTCATGTCAATTCAGCAATGCAGCAATCCCTCGGTTAGTGCTTGGTGGATCAAAGTGCCGATCCTGGTCAGGGAGAACAAGTCATCTCAAATGCCCATTCTTCTTTGGAGGAACTGCGTGAGATATCGTGAGATTGCATGGTAACCTGCATGTTTTCCCTTTTTGTAATGGCAAACCCAGCCACAAGAACATAAGTTCTGTGTTGGAGTTCCTTTTGGTGTGCTGCATCGTCAGGGCGCCAGTTGCCCTTGTTCTTGCCGGATGGTTGTAGACAGCCAACCCCACAGACGAGTCGGGAGGCGGCCGAACCAGCGGCAAAGGTGCACCATGGATGGTCAAACTCGATGATGCAAACCCGCAAATAGACAGAACATGTTTTGGAAACGTGCAATCCGGTCATCTATTTGGGGATCACTATAGATGCACATCAAAAGCTGCACTCAAAGGTCTCGGCGGCCAGGAAAGATCAATTATGACATCACGCCACCTCAAAAAAACACACGCCACCCAATGGTAGGGACCTTTGAAAGCCGACTCCCTTCCACCATGTCACGTCACTACGTCGACACTTGTGAGTTCACCAATCTGCCAGTACCGGTTTTTGATGTATGCGTGCCCGTCCCATGACGCTACATCACCAGGTTCCTCGGCATGCAGCTTTTTAGCTGGAGAGATGAAGTCCACAAAACATGTGAAAAAAAACAGAACCTGTGTACCTGTCTAATGCCCTTCCCCTCCGTCAATGCAGGATCTGCTCCGAAGACTTTGGTGAACAAATAATACACGTGAAATTACATTCATCCACGGTCCACCTTCACTTCCTTTCGCCCCTCAGCTGCACGAAGATGATCTGCGAAGCCACCTCCCCGGAGCAAGGTACTGGAAACACGGCGGCACCGCGAGACCGCGGATGGCCGCGGTGGAGATTCCGGGATGCAGTGGAGGCCATTCCGACCAAAGAAAGCCCCAAAAGGATCCCGTTGATATCCCGTCTAGGCCGTTTAGCTGCGTTTAGGAACTCGAGGTTCTCTTCCACCTGCATCAGAAGCAGCTTTGAGGCCTTTGGGCGGAAAACCTCTGGGTGACGCCACCTGGGACCCCCCAAACCCCCAAACCCTCACGACGAGCTGCGGCTGCGCGCGCGTGCGCAGCGCGTGTCGTCTCGCCTCCGTCCCGGTCACCGAGAGAAGGATCGAGACCCCGACACGGGGCGCCGCCGCCTGGTGGTAACAGGGCGCCGACCGTGGCAGGAACAGACCGGTCTAGAACCTGACATGGTCAGATGTAGAAAACAAAGAATCCCAAAGAAGAAAAACATACAGTAGAACAACGAAGAAGAAGAAACATACGTTTACATATTAATATACATATTACCATTATTACATCATCACATGCTTACTAACCCCCTCAAACAAATCAAAGCATACAAACAAAGAAGAGAGGCTGCGGACTTGTGTTACATATCTGTCTGACTCCCACTGAACAGAAAGTCGGCCGCAGGATCAAAATGGAGAAGTGCCTTTTTGTCTATTTTTCTCACTAGAGGTTCAGGTGCACTGAAGAAAGATACCTGCTATACACCAACCATGAGACACTTGTCTTCAAGAGAAGCCTTCCTCCAATCCTCCTGCTTTGTTTCTAAGGGCCGGCTCACGCTGTTCGCCGTTCGCCGCTCCAGGCAGCGCTGTTCACGGCTCCTGGAAGCTCCTTTTGGATCCACCAGAAGGTTCTTTTCAACGGCTGCCGACATCCACATTCCAACTATCATCATCACCATCATCATCATCATCATCACCATCGTCATCATCATCACCATCACCATCACCATCCATCATCCATCATCCACCATCACCATCCCCATCCATCATCCATCATCCATCATCCATCATTAATCATCATCATCATCATCATCATGATCATCATAACACGGGCAAGAAGTGTTACGGCGAGATCGGTCGTTCCTCCATGCTGAAGCCGTTGGAAGAGCTCTCTTTGCACAGGCACTGGTGGGACAAATCAAATGAATCCGTTCCTTTGGGATGGCTATGTGGTGAGACCACCTTTGTCGCAAGGGCTGAAAGACAACATCTTCCAGTCTTTGGCAGTTGGAGGGGGAAGGAACCCAACCCTGGCACGATGCTCTCATTGCAAGTCAGGGTGCCCAGCTTCCACAGTTCGCTTCTATGCCCTGGAATGTGCCAGTGTGACAACCACCTGGTAAAAGGAGTACAGGAAGTTCAGAAGTTGATTGGGATTGACTGGCCTGGGCTCAGGTCTTTGGATGTTGTCTTAATTTCTTTATAGTTCTTAGCAAGGCTCCTCCCCTCCACGCCACCACCCACAGTCCCGCAGTCGTCCCACCTGTCGCGCCTCTCGCGCGACCTCTCAGTCGCTCAGCTGTACGCGTTTGGCACTGCTTCGAGGAATTAATTGTTCCAGGACTGCTGCTCAGGACATCTCATAACCCAACTCATGTTGGGATCCGAGCTTCTGGACTGAGGCTTGTGTCTTGACGCTTTAGGTCTAGGATGGATTTTCTCGGAGTGATTCGGAGTGGTTTCAGGGTCCTCAACCGGTTCTGGGAGGTCTAGGGCGAACGATGGAGGACTCCAATGGCTTCCTTGACCCAGACCCCTGTGAAAGCCGATTGACTGGATTGTTACCAAGAATCCTCACAACATCAAGCAAGACCACCATTTGTAAGAATCTGGGAACACCCTCCGTGAAACAATCATGGAAGGTGCTCAGCCCCCCTGTTACACTCCCTGAAACAATCATGGAAGTGGACAGTGGCCCCTTGGAAGACTATTTTCCTCTACCAAGAGGGGATTGTCCACTTCCATGATTGTTGCAGGGAGGGTAGATCCTGTTATATGGATCCTGTTACAGTCATCCTTTCAGGGCCAGTCATCCTTTCGGGGCGTTCCATGTTCACCCATGTTTGGAGGGAGGATCAGTTTTGGTGAAACGATTCCGATTTCAGCCTGGAGGAGGATCATTTAGGGCCAAATATTGGCTTCCACGGATTGAGGCACTCATGGGCAGAAGTGGCCAATCATGGCGGGCCACGGATAGGGCCCTCCTTTTAGTCCGCTCAAGGACAGTCCAAGCGAACCTATCGGAACCATCACGTCCTCCCAAAGAACCAAAAGAAGCACCACGGAGATCCTCATCGTGAACTCATGGTACTTACAGTACACCACATGAGCGTTCTGCTCCGATCTGCTCCGGCTCGCTCTCGGCCCCCGCTGCCTGGATCTCCGGTTCGAGCGCGAGCGTCCACGCCGCCGCGAGCGGGAACGCCGGTTGTCGGACCTCGGAAGCTTTCCGCATCTCTCCGCCGAAGGCCCAGGGGCAAAGGGCGGTGAGTTGCGGTTCGTCGCGCTGGAGCTGGCCTTAATGTAGGATCATGTAGGATCATCTTTTTATGACCCCTTCCTAGTAGGATCCACCCAAAAAACCTCTTCTACCACTCGTGCTCACGAAGTCAGGCGTGAGACTCTGCGACAGGCGTTCCACCTGTTCGCAAATGAAAAGCAAGAAGACCCAACAGGCTCAAAAACCCCAAAGGCACAAAGCGACCGATCCACACGGATCGAAGCCCACGAAGAAGCATCAAGCTAGCATGGAAACGAAGCGACACTGAAGGCCCAAGTGTCTAGATTGGCCTTCACCACATGGCGCGAAATCTCAACTAGGAATTGCAGGAATGCATTGGACATGAAAGGCCGAGCATTTACGAAAGCACCAGCGGGCATCGTCTTGCCCCATGAGTTGTGCAGCCTGGAATCATTGGTACCAGGAAAAAATTCGAAACGAACATGCTTCCGGCATATTTTGAGGCACTTTTTGAACCACACTATCAGGGCTTGAAACGTATAGTGTTCATCTTGAAGAAGCTCTGTACACTTGAAGCCTTGGTGGTAACAAAGGAATGCAAGTTCAGCATGCGAAACCACACAATTTTCAGCAAGGCGCCATTTAAGTGTTTTCACAAACTGTCCGAAAAGAGTCCAATCGCTATCGAGAAGGACGGACTCAGGCACTGGATTGACCGGCCAGTCATGTAGGAGGGTCCAAGTGAACAAAGAAACATCCTCATTCCAGGGAAGGCGTGGGAACTGCTCACTAGGTGCAATATTACTTTCATCACAATCGCTGTCTGGGTCTTTTTCAACATGAGGCAAGGTGGTGCCAATCAAGTGGCACAGACTGGTGAGCCACTCTTGCCTTTGTAGAACAGCTTGGCACGTGGGTTCAAACAAGGCTGGAGCTATCGGGCTATTACGAAGCGCTTGTCGCTTTGCGGCATGGTCCGCTGTACGGTTGTGAACAATATCGATGATGGTGGAGCCATTGGCAGCCGCCATATCATGGTCGATCATATGTTCAGGGATGTGTTCCAGCTTATGGGCTGGGATCCAAGTCGCAAACAAGGGTTTCGAAAAAACAGCACGGCGCTTTGTCCAAACCTTGTATAAACATACGGGAGGGCGGGTGATGAATCAAGATTTGCACTTCGATAGCCGATAGGCCGAAAAAAAAAGGAGCTCTTCCCAGAGTCCACCCATCTGGGAGTGGAAGAGATGGCCGATACATAAAGGAAAAACGCCTCCGCAAATGTGGGCATACACACGGAGTGTCTGGGATTGGTGTCAAAAACCCAGGCACTCCATGTATACCATATATGCCGCCCCATTGCCCAAAACCACCCCAATGTAGGCATACATGGCATACATGGAGTGTCTGGGAAAGGTTCCAAAGACCGGTCCAACCATCAAATTACTTCAAGAATTCAGCGTCAGGAGGCGGAAATGAAGTCAAAATGGTCAGGAAGGTCTATAGTCTATAGGGTCTGGTCACATGTTCAGCGCACAATGCAAAGACCTACACCTTCCAACATCATTCAACTATGCCATTTCTGCCCTTGTTCATCCATCAAGAACTCGCCAAAACCTCCCAACCCCAGGGAGCCCCCGCCGTGTTTCGGGCGGCGGCGAACGCCGCGGCCGTTGCCTGAGGGATGAGATGGGATGGAGCCCGACAACGACATCGGAGCTTCAGCTCCCTGGACCCTCCCTGGGCTAAACATGTAAAACCATTCGAGGGAAGTTGGATTTCACAGTGTACGGTATACATCATGGAAGTGGAGTGAACAGGTCCCCTGAGACCCTGTTTGTAAAGGATCTCATGATCTTTCTGGGGGCTATATGCAACCCACTTCCATGATTGTTCCAGGGAGGCTCAAAAATAGGGGGCCGCCCCAAATCTCTCCTTGTAAATTTAAATGAGCAGCTTCCAGGAGCAAGAACATCTGCAGGTCCATTTTAAGAGCAACACCCAACTATTGGTGGACAAACATCCCCTGAACATAGAGACCATGATATATCATGCTCATCTTTATCTCCTCCTAATCTATCATGGAAATCTTCACTTTTCCCATCTGAGGCACACATCTTGTGAGCGTGAGGCCTCTCGCTCCGGGGATCCCGATAAGCTTTCAAAACGCGCATGTGCTCACGCATGTTAACCCGGAGCTCCCGGGTCACCCCGACTTGCTAATTTGCACTCGCTCGCGCCACACCTGGCCAAAAAGGCCGCACAAAGGACTCTGAGGCCGAAGAGGGCAGGAACCCACGTGATTCTGCATCCAATCCATAAGGAGCCAGGTACAGTGACGGCATATGACGGCATCATGCCAATTCTTTCATCTAAGGTCACAAACACACACACACATATATATATATACACAGTATAAATAAATATATATATATATTGTACGTTTAATAGTTACTGATACAAAAATAGTGATAAGTGTTTACTGACTGTTGCAGGTAATAGGACACGCCCCACATATATATATATATTATATCTAATGTCTGTATATACTATACCTCTTATAAAACATTATATCATATTATATCTATCTAAATTACTAGTACCATCTAGTACCGTACCATACAACTTTGCAAGAATGTGGGCCACTCACCGAATGCTGGCCCCACGGGTGGGGCGGAGCATTTTGACCATGCAAGGGGCGGATCCCGTTGGGCGTTTCTGATCGACCAGAAAGGGCATCGCATAGCACATAGCACAAGTGAGCCAGGTGCTTGGAGGCTTTGACCAACGAAACTTCAGGGCTTGCTGTACATCCTGGTTTGTTAAACCTGTTTCGTGTGATTTCATGTGCATCCTAACAAGCAAGAAATAGAAGACGTCGTCTCGGAATGGATGGTGAGTTTCCCCAAACTTTCTGTGGTTTGGACAGCTGCTGGCACACGACCCAAAGTGGGACTATAGAACCCAGGAGGTCGGTGGACATCCTTTCAATCCGAAGCCAGCAGGAGCCATCACCAACTGACTGCTTCTGTGAGAAGCGCCTTCTCCCAGTTGAAGTCTGGATCATTTGTGGGCTTGCCATCCTGCAGCTGGTGAGGACAAAGGAAAGCACTTAGTCACCCTGCCTGTAGGGAGTTCAGCCCGAAGGGATTGAGAAATGGATTTACAGTATCCAACACGAATCACAGGAACTTATTCCTCATGATGCCCTCCCCCCCAAGACAACAAACATCGCCGTCGAAAGTAACACAGACGTTTTCCAAGCCCTCTATCGGATAGCCGGTTCTGCTTGGAAGATCCACCCTCTCTGGAGGTGTGGCCGCAACCGTTCTTCGTCCGCTTCGTTCACCGATCCGACCGAAGGAAGACGTGGCCTTGTGTTCACCGACCCGACGAACTTCCAAACCCTCCACAGGTGGCCTTTGGCACCTGAACATTCGAAGCGTGGACCCTCTTTTCATGGAAAGCACCACCCGACCCCTCAGTTCTTTGGATTCTGAACATGGGCCGTGACAGAAAGAGAAGAACAGCGATTCGAAGACGCACATTCAACGAAGAATTCCGAGCTCCCAGGTATTCCCTGAGTAAGAAAACCACAGATCATGTGAAGACCTTGACCATGGCCTATCTTCACCGCTTCTGAAAAAGACCTGAGACAACATCACATTCCCAAGGCCATGAACATCCCAAGCGGCCATCAAGTGGCGGTCTTCCTCACGGGAAAAAACACACAAGACAACACGACGGCGAACACCATCAATGTAAACAAAATAGGACCCTTCAGGATCTTCATGACCTGACCCCATGCGCACGCATACGCGACCCTGCCCTTTTCTCCAGGCGGTCCTTATCTTTCTTTTTATCATCTCTTGATTTACTTCTGTCCTGCGGCCAGCCAGCCAAACGTGGGAACCCCTGGCCGAGTGTGACGCTGCGCCGCCCAACTGTCGCTCGAGCGCGTGGGGATTCCGTGCCATCCGTGCGTCTGTCATCCATTGTCATCCATCCACTGAATCTAAAGGGATCAAGCACCAAGTGACAGTGCTCCACAAGAACCGTCTTCTTCTCCTTGTCCTTGCTTTTCTTCTTCTCCTTCTCATCATTCTCCACCTCCTCAATCCGGCGCCGGCACCCTGCTGATCAATTGATGAACTCAACCATCCAGCCCACCAGTTACTACAGTGACTTGTTCAGGGTGGGTTTGGAGAGTGATACTGGTCTGGTTTTGAGGGCGTTTGAGGGAATGGTGTTGGCATGCAGTTCTTTTGTTCAGGCAAATGCTGATTATATAGATCCGATTAGTGTATACCGCCGGACTGAAAGTTAGAATGCCGTACCGGCTCCAGGGTGGAGGCTTAGAATGCGTGTCTCATTTTCCTACACTTAGAATGCCTGCACGGCCCCACAAATAGTAAAGATTTAGGGCGGCATTCTAACTGTCAGTCCGGCTAGAGTGCTTTGCATCAAATGAGCTCTATACAGTGATTGAATCATGTAAACACGATGTGTATGTATATATATATATTTCTCAAGTATATTTAGATCTTCAATGGGAGATGAGTTCAATCATGGTGGAGATGGTGGATTCACAGGAGCTGGAAGAGGCGGCGGATCTGGATTTGACATGGTCTTTTTCAAGACGGCATGCAACGTTTGCTGCATGGCGCCAGCTCAAATACCTAAATTTCCTTTTTTGAGCCAAGGCACTAGGCAAAACACTTCAACAATTCATATATATATTATATACAAATTAGCCCAGGTACGTCTCAATATTTGTTTAAAACACGTCTCAGGTACGCCTCAATGTGCTGGGAGGCATTCTAAGTGGTAGCCGAAACCTAGACTCTCCACCCGGTGATAGGCATTCTAACTTTCAGTCCGGCGGTATAGGTTCCTAGACGGACGCCAAGTAGAACCCTCCTCTTGCTTGGGCCACTTCCAACAAGCGGAATAAACAGAAACACCGGCGGCTAATTACCATGGATTCAAACATGGGGGTGGACAATGCTGGATCCCTATGTGTATAATCGGACGGATTTTTTAAACGTGTTCGAACATTACAGTATTCCAAACCCTTGAATCGAGAGGTTGGAATAACACAAAGTTTTTCTCCCCTGTTTTTCCTCCCTGCTTTCGGCGTTATATATACTAAGTATAATCATCACTTGTACTAACCACCACTGCATGCCTCTGCGCAGGTTTTGTTAATGGAAAGGACTTCCTTTTATGATTTCCTTGTTCCTTTGTAAAATAGCATTTCAACCAGGGATTACTTTTCATAGTATTCTTGCAAGGAAGATTCCTAGGCCCTGGACATGGCCTTTTTGGGATCATACTACTGAGTCTCAAACATTAAAGGGCTTCATCAACAATCCATTGAACACCCAAACAGCATGGTCCAGCCACTTCATGGAGGACGCTTCTGTCTCTTAAACGGAGGACATGGCCCTGCGGACAAACCTCTCTTGGGCAGGTGATAGCACGAGGATGCGGCCGGATCGAGGATGATCAAGGGCATCAAAACCTGGAATTTGTGATCCCTGTTTGTAGCATTTCATTGTGTCGTTTGATTTCTTTTGCTTCAATACTTCAATGCGAAGTGGGAGAATTCTGAAGTCTCTTGATCATTCTTGATCAGGTCGTCTTATGTTCTTAAGCACATGTTTACACATGACCTCACTGAAACTCCTCAGCCGATTGGATTCTAGTGCAGTGCAGCTACATGCTCAGTTGCTTAGAATTCGGCCATGTCAAACCTCCCCATCACCCAACAAACCACCCAAGCGAAAGGAAGCTGCGGTGTTCTGCGGTGTGGCTGCGCGTTTTTGCTGTGGCTGCGGTGCTCCATAAAGGTGACGTGCAACCCACCCACCCATGCCAGTCGTACCTCCTCAGAAGGTGTTTGGACCCACTACTTGGGGTACCACGGGGTTGGTATAACGAAACGAAGGTACTGGGGTTGGAGACCACGACCACTTCCCACGGCCGTGCCGCCTTCACCTTCTCTTTCTTTCCAGCCATCGCCTCGTCGAAGCTCATCCTGCGGAGCGTTCAAACGCTCCCGTAGCACCCATCAAGGTGCTGAGGTACGGGCTTCATGACTTGGCGTCCTCATTTCAAAGAACGACATCAGTATTGTAACAGTACGTCATCTTGAAAGATCAAAAGAGCCAAATGGACACATCCCAAAACCAACTAATCAATAACACACAATAAAACACATCGACTTGAACTTGGAGACTCCACTCCACCGGCCTGCCGTTCTCCACTCCACGCGTCCGCGCGTCTGCGCCTTTCGTGGCCGGGCTTCGCGTCCGCGGCACCGAAGCCCTCCGCGCTGATCCCCACGATGCCCTGGAAGCGGCGACATCAGGCGCCGAGGCACGGACTTCTCCGTCGGAACGGCTGGGAGGTTGAGCTGGGAGGGTGCATCACATTTTGGAGGCTTCCGACCTGGTGTTGTAGTCTCAAATCCTCAGTACAATGGTAAAAATACGGTAAAAACCATGTAAAACACAATTTTAACTCTAATGGTGGTGCTCGCTGTGCTACACACCAGCATGTAGTTACAACATGTCATAGTCATATGGAAAGTCCCAGGTCGCTGTGACCTGCAACAAGTTCCTCCCTAATTACCAGAACTACCCACCTCAGCCGCCACGAGTGCTTCATCGGCCCCTGCTCCTGTGTTCTTTTTCGCTCCGCCTCCCCGACGACTAAGAGGAGATCCGACGCTGGAATGAAGGCCCATTGATCCACTTGAGGAGCCTGGCGTGAACAATGAGACCGGTTCTGCAGCGGTCGAACCGGTGCACGTTCTCGCAATATACCGGGCGGTGGCGGAACCGGGGACGCCGCTGATCAATCCCAGGAACATTGGAAGTGGCCGCGATCCCGGAACTTCCACCCATTGCGCCACAGCTGACTCAAGGGTCACATGAGCCATGCATATATGAGTCTTCCACGCAGCGGTTGAGGGCTTTCAGCTCCCCCAGTATCCACTGGAAATACGCCGTGTCCCTATTTTACTACGCGCCCACACTAGTATCAATCTGCCAGTGCTTTAAATTATTTCGTGCCCTCAGAGATCACCAGCTTCCGCCTCGGTGCCATCTGGCGCCTGTGGAGGCTCCTGGTTCCGAACGCTGACTCAACAGAAGGCGCGCCGGTCGCTGAGGAAATGCGACGAAGTCGGGAGTTGACGACTGGGAATTTCCACCAGTGACGCTCTTGCCGACCAATCCCTGAAACATCCTGAAACTGACTGATCATCCATTCAATTCACATCTTCTTTTTTTTCGGTGCCCAGGTTGGAGGTGCCGCGTGGGTTGCAAAGAGGGGGGAGTCATGGATAAGATTTGGTTGAAAGAAGCACCTGGAAAGCGCACAGGTGTGACAAATGATGATATACTTTAGTGGGATGTTGAGCCCATCTCTGAACGCAGTTGTCCTGGGATTGTTTTTCGAGGTTTTTCACGAACCCATTGAGATGACGACGAGGTGACCCACAAAAGAACTGTCAACATGAATAGTGAGTAGATTTGCATTTGAATAGCTGCAAGGCAACAAACCCAGGGGGAAGGGTGAAGAGGGCCCGCTCCCAAATGAACAGAACAGAACAGAACCATTCGTTGAATTGGAGGGAATTAGAACATCTGAAGCCCACCAGCATCCATTGCAACAAGGGCTCAGGTAGCCAAGGGCACCTTCCGCATGTTACGGGCCCATACATTTCAAATGTTCAAAATAGTTTATGGAACTGCCTGCCGCATGATCGCATGCATCATGTGGCATCATGTGGCCCCTTCTTCAGCCCAAATGGGTTTGGGGAATCGCGGGTGGTTCGTGCCCCACTCATGGAATTCATGTAAAGCCTCATACAAATACAGTACATGAATGATACATGTTCGCGCCCCAGTTCGGTGCCCGGCTCATCAAAGGGTAAATAGCTTACACCCTGGAACATGGAACCTCAAAACCCCTGGTTGGTAGAGGAAAATCGTCTTCCATGCGACCAGGACGTCAGGGTCTATGTCCTCTTCTTGAGCCATTCCTCATCCCATCCCCTCCGGGCGCTTGGCGCGGCGAGGCCCTGCGCACCGCCGTAAAGAGGCTCAGGAAGCGAGGCCCTTGCTCCTCGGTCTGCACCTCGGTGGGTGCGCAAGGGTCACCCAGGCGACCCTGAGGTGAATGAGGTTAGGACTATAAAGGTTAAGGAACTGGTTCAGAAGTGGTTGCAGGACTTGGGATATGTCGGATATGTTGAGATGGCTCGCAAAACCCCTTTTGACTGGATGCCCATTCTGTCACAAACAAATCCAAGAACCAACGACACCCCAACTTGGAACATACTGGGACTCCATGGAACACCTGCTTTCGTATCTTTTTGGTGGGTGATCACCTGCCAGACCGGCGGGCCATCCCTGTCACTGAGAGAAACAATCCAAGGGCAAATGTGATAGGACATGATAGGACCATCGTGCCAACATCCAAAACGATTAGAGTTCAAGTTCAACATCAAAGGTTTTCGTTGCACAAGCCATGAACTTTGGATTCACTTCAATCAGCTTGGGGAGCTGCAAATTCCCCTGTGAATTCCCCTTGAATGGCTGCTGTTCGCACAGAACTGGAGTTTTACTCTTGTTGTGTTGCAGGTCGTTCACTGACCCGATCAGCAATACTTTGCCTGGTTGCCCGGTCCGGGCACACCCAGCGTTGTGCGGCGAAGATTCACCATGCAAAAAAGGGTCTTAACCTGTCCGAGTGACATAGGAATTGGCCACATAGGACAAATTAGTTTGAATACGCACAAAAAACATACAAAAACAATCAAAACCATTCAAAACCCAGTTCCTCTGACAGGAGGAGCTCCCTCGCCCACTTTCACAACGCCCATCCTCCCCAACCCGATCAGGTGTCCCAGCCCAGTCCGAGATATCCTGCCACAAGGCCGAAACCATAAGCCGGACCTGGCGCTTGGAGTCGGCTTGGAGAACATCGAGGTCACCCTCGCTCATCGGACCCCAGTCCCACCCGGACGGGGTGGAGAAGGCCTACTGTCTAAGGAAGAAATCCTGCATCGGTTCAACTTGGATTTGCCTCAGGAACTGGGAACAAAAGTAAAAAACATCAGAGGGGGATATCACCATGGGGGAAATCAAGATCACCCCTAAGCAAAACCAGGTGAAGGATGTTATGTTAAGGATATTTAAGGATGAGTTCCAGCTCAGTTAGGCGATGCTAGAACATGTTCGGCCGGCTGAAGAAGCAGCTCAGGGGAGACCTCAAAGCGAATTGACTTGAATAGGACAATAGGAATGTTCATTGAACCTCAGTCGGACGACCTTGTCACGGAGAAGCACACCTAGGTGGCTCATCTGGTGCATAAACTCATGTCATGCCGCATGCCCTACTACCCTACACTTCCAGCCTTCGAGTCCCCCAAAAGGCGGCCCACTGGAGCATCTAGGAGCCCGGACAGCGGTTTCCCCGCGCTCGGAACCGACCGAACCACTCGTCATGTTCAGCCGAAACGCCTCTTTATCACCGGCGTTGACGAAGCCATCGATGCCACGCGGCAAAACCTTCCGAATCCTGGCCATGGCCGATGCCGGGAGGTGCAGGTCGTTTGAAAAGGGGGTTGGTGTGCAGTCCTTTGAAAAACCTCGAGCGGGTCCGTGGGTCAATCATGAAAACATATGAAAATGGACAAACGCGACTTTTCTCGCAAGTAGGCTTGGGCCTTGATTAGGCCAGCGGTACACTTCTTATGTGCGTGTTGTGCTCCAATGACTGCATGCTATGAAATGCCATCAATCTTTGTCACCCCTCCTTCATTGGAGCTCTCGCACACCTTACAAAAGTTCAGATCTTGTGCATGCCCCCAAAATTTGCAGCTGGGGGAAAAATGCACCACCTTTCCGTTTGCTGTCATTCGCAAACTGCATAGTCGATTTTCGACTTTCGTGGCTCGAGAATCTGAAAGTCGGGTCTGGATCATAAAGTCATCCATGACCTCCTGTACTGCTTTCAGTTTCTCTTCCAATTCTTCTACATAAGTGTCCAGGTGGAAATTCCGTACATGGGTTTCCTCAAGTTCTTTCAAACACTTCTGGAGGTCGGAATTCATGACCTCAGCGGTGGTTTGTGTCTCTTTGGTTTCCACCGTGACTTTCAAGGTCATTGTGACCTCTTTGCCATCAAACTTCTTCTTCACATACTTCAACAAGAAGTCCTTCGTGCCACCGATGGCCTTGATCACATAGACCTGCAGCCACTTCACCAGGCTCAAGGCCCCAAGCACCGCGCACACGCACAGCCAATCCCAACCTTCATGTACGTGTCCTTCTCCATCACTTGCCATGCCGGTTGCCCTTGTCAAAGTGCTGAGCAACATCAGCAATCCAATTCTCATGTCCTTGTTCTTCCCGAACTTCTTGACGCTCTGTTTCAGGTTGTGCTGCTCCTCAAGCTCACGGAACTCCTCTTCACCCACGCGGTCGCCCACAGCATCCACCACATTCAGCATCCACAGGAGAGCCTTGTGCCTCTTCTTGCTCAAACATTTCGTTCCAAGGTCGGCACAGTTGAGATCTGTGGGTATGGGTGCAATCACCACTGTCTTCTCTTTTTCCTTCTGTTGGATCCACAGTAATGAGGCATCCAAATGGCGCACCCTTCCAATTCCTTGCCTCTGGGTCATCGCTCTGGCGGCAGAACTGTCTGACCTGATCTTCAAGGTGCATGGTGCACCTGCCAGCTTCTGCCACAAGTACTTGATCAGCAGACCCTCCGAGCATCCAGCCACCATAGCCACAAATTCTGACTCGCCTGAGGACAAGGATATGGCTTTCTGTGACCTCACCTTCGACTCGACAAGGTTCCCATCCATGAAGATTTGAAAGGAACTCGTTGACTTCTGGTCGTGCTGATTTCCTGCATAGTCAGCGTCGGTCACCACTTCGATGAGGTGCTGTTCCAGTGGCTCCACATCTACCGAGCATCTCATGTCCATCACTGATTGTCCACGGCTTTTGCTGTCGATGCGGACACCATAGCCTCCAGTGCCGAACAGGTAGGAGCACACGTGCCAAGCATGCTTCATAGCTTGTGTCGTGGGTTTTGCCATATGTCTTGCAAGGCACTGAATTGCAAATTGGGCATCTGGTCTTTCTCCAGCCAGGTACATCAGCCTGCCCACAATGCTTCGGTATTTGGTGACATCTCCTCCTTCGAGTGCAGGTGAATTGTCCTTCTTGGTGAAGTTGGCATCCAGAGGTGTCTTCCGGTAAAACTTCGAAAACATGCCCACCTCCTTTTCGAAGCTGTCATACTGCTTCCTGTCACACCTCACATCGCAATGATGTGGCCTCAAAGTGAACTCCCGTTTCAGGTAATGGAACTTTTCTCCTGGTCTGAAGGTTCCACGTTCCATCCCTTCTTTTCCTTCAGGTAGTTCACAAAGTCCTGAGGCGTTGTGTGATGCCAACCATGAACACATCGTCCACATGCACCGTCAGGTACATCTCTCCAGGGGAGGTAGAGCAAGGTGGGTTGCATCGGATCTTGCTGCATTCCAAACTCGGTGCACGCTCCTGCAAATAATTGGAACCATTGTGATGCAGCTGTCCTTTGCCCTGGCAAGCAACGCAGCAATTTGAAGATGCGACCATTCACTCTGACATACGCTCTCTCCTCAGCAGGTTGTGGCGACATCAGGAAGGCGTCCTTAACGTCCAAGGTCATGACCGAGAATCCCAGGTATACGTTCAGGGTCAAGTGGAGGAGCATCTTTGGTAGGCACATCATTCCAGTCGGGGCGAGTAATTGTTCCAGCTGTACTGAATTCCTGAACTGTCTTGCCACCAATCGAGCTCTTCGGAACCACCCGCCTTGATCTAACCGGTGTTTCCAGCACATGACCTCCTTGGTGGAAATGATATATCCTCCATTGAGCTCAACTTCATCAGCTTCCACCTCTACCATGGCTGGCATCTCCAACATCCGATTGATCTCCTTCTCCTTTGCCTGGGTGTCCAACTGCTCCAATTCCTCCTCACTGACTTCAGGTGGATCATCACCTTCTTCGCCTCCATAACCCCAGAATTCCTCCTCCATCAGCTCCTCTGGGATATAGTCGGCCCCAACTTCTTCATCACCATGGGCTTCCACTGAACTCAAAATGCGGTGGGTACAGCAGTCCAGAACTGCTGGGCGACGCTCAGACGGGTTGTTCGACTGGACTGGATTCCATTGCTGCATCTGGCAAAGTAGGTGTCTCGACACGAGGCTTCTTTTCCTCCTCATCATCACTCACCTCAATCACCCTTTTCTCATGCGCTTTGCGCGGTGAGTCCGTCTGGTCCAGCTTCTTTCCTTCATGTTCATCTGCCTTCTCCTCCTCGTTCAATGCCCTCTTGTTACCCTTTGCTCTGGGTGATGTGATGGCAGGAGTTGAGGGTGCAGGTATTGCAATGCCAGGTGTTGAGTGTTGTCCTCTCAAGCCAGGCGCAGGTGTCACAACGCCAGCGGCCACATCAGATGCAATCTGCTTCATGTCCTCCTCCGTGGCTTCCATCTCCAAAGTGGGCATTCGATACTTCTGAGTCTGACCTGCATGTCTCATCAGGATACTGTCTTCAGGCTGGCACTTCCTTTTGTAGGGACAGGCACAACATGGATGGACTTTGTCTCACTGGATACGGCCACCAAGCAAGTTCCATATTGATCTTGCCTCTCTTGGACTTTTCCAACTGGCGTCTCATCAAGGCGTCCTTCATCTCCAGTGTACGTGTAGAAGAAGTCCAGCTGGATGATGTTCTTTCCCATATCCTCCTTCTCGCCCACATTCTTGTAGTGATCTTCCTTCGCTCGGCATGCTACACATGCCTGGCACCAAGGAGCATAGGGCCAGTGGGTCACGAAGTGCAGCGCCTGCTCTGCCAAACTGGGAAGCTTTGGTTGTCCCAGTGTCACCGGCCTTCTCTGTTGTTCCTCATAGAGCTTGCTTGCTGCTGCCAAGTGCATCTGGGTCTCCAAGTGCACCTTGAACTTCAGGAGGCTATCAAGCAGCTTTCTCTTGCTGCCCGTCCATGGCAGCTGTCTCTCCTTGCACGCCACTTGCAGTTCCTTCACCTTCATCTTTTCCGAGAACAGCACTTGGTCGAGTTCAACCTCATTTGGCCTTTCAGCGACCACCATCTTTTCCACATCATGGTACATCTCCTTGTACTCGAGCTCTTCCATCTCCTCTGCATCATCCTCAGACCACTCCATATGGCCGAAAGATTCCTCAGTACACGGGTATGGCGAGACAGGGACCTCAGATCCGCTCTCCCAGTAGTCCTTGAACTTGGTTGGAGAGAAGAAACTCAGCAGTCGCATGGGCTCATTGTCCATCGAGATCCTGCGGAACGCCACATTTCCAAGGCTGTGGATATCCTCCACATTCGCCAACTGGGTTGATGTGTCACCCTTGTTCTTCATCAAGGTGAGTCTTGCCTTGTAGCTCTTCTCGATGCTGCCCGCTGGATTGGTCAAATGACTGGCCACTGTGTCGCTGTAGTCCAGTACTCCACTTGGTAATCGATGCCATCCAGGAGTCATTTCCAGGGCTTTCACATACTTTGCTCAGGTAGCCTGTCAGTGCGAACACCCTGGACTCTTCAGCAGCATCTGTTGCTTGTGGCGTCATCACTGCCAGGATCCTTGCTTCAAACTGAAGTGAATTCCTCTCCGTGTTCAGAGGGACCTCAATTCGTCGTTCATCGTGCTTCAGATGTAGTTGGCCTTCCACACCTCCAAGGCTCCATCCACGCTTCAGCAACCGTCCGGCACATAGTATAGGGTGATGGACGTTCCCCAACACGAACTCTTCCACAATCTCCACCACCTTGCCGGACCGATCCTTGATCCTCACTTTGGCTCGGGTCAGCCCATCATAGGCAATTCTCCGGCCTTGAGCATCCACCATCTTCAACTCGCCATTGCTCACCATATTGGTTCCAACTCCAGCGAAGTCTCGTGGGAGCACAGAAATGTCAGCCCCACTGTCCAGTGTGACCAAACACGTGCTCTCATTGTCACCATCTTCGACCTTCACCATGTTCACCTCCAGCTCGTCATCCTGCAGATACAGGGCCACTATAGCCACATCTTCAGGCACGTTCACCACGGGCTCATGGCAATCCTTGTGCTCTTCCTCCTCCAGCTCATAGAACACCTCAATCTCTTCCTCCATTCTCACCATTCTCACATGCCAGGAGGCTGAGTCATCTCCTCCTTCTTGATGCGTTGTTGTCAAATCAAAGACTTCCCACGCTTCCTCTTCAGGCGTAGATTCAAGTCTCACCATCTTCACAGAGGCATACTGTGTCGATGAAGCACTTCCAGTTTGCCCGGTTGAAGATGAGCTGGATTCACCAGGGTTTGCAGCCTGCTGCTCCTCAATCTGGTTCACCCCTTTCCAGCAGTCTTTGGCGAAATGCCCCATCTTGCCGCACACATGGCATGCGCCAGATTTTCCTCCTTTTGGACTTGGGCTCTTTCCTTTCTTCCCTGGAGCTTTCTCCCACATAGAGCGTCCTCTGTCACTGCTCTTCCAAAGGCCTTTTCCTTCTCGTAGCTTGCCTTTGTCTTTGCCTTTTGCTTTGCCCTTGTCCTTTCCTTTCTTTCCACCTTTCTTGCCCTTGTCATAGGCTTTGCCAACATAGTCCACTTCCATCGGAGTGGCATCATCACTTGAAGCTCTCGTAGGCAGCATCAAATTGTTCGACGCATCCCACCTGGTAGTTACTGCTTCCTCGGGCAAGCAAGAAGCACCGCTGCAACTTTTGCATCATCTGAGTAGTTCTGCCCAGAGATGCGCTCATACTCCTGCACCAATGCCTCAAACTGAGGCAGTTGCTCTGACACAGTCTTCTTCTCCTCAAACTGTATCCTCGAGAGCTGGCTCAACAAGGCTAGAGATCTGGCCCTGGTAGCCGGCTGCATTTCTTTCAGGAGCACCTGCCATGCTGCAAATCCATTCTCATTCTTGATGTGCCGGATCAGCTTCAGCGGCCTCAAACGCAAGTAGGAGGTCAAAAGGCTGTATAACCTCACAGGCTTGCCCTGGTTCTCGTCCGTCATGTTCTCCATGTCGTAGGTGTCGTTCACATTCTTCTCCACCATGTCCATGTTCTGGGCCATGGAAGGGTCCACGCCCTTGATGTAGTTCACAAAGGAGAATGTCCAATCTCCCCAAGTCTTCAGCTCTGCATCCCTGTTCTCGGGCTTGAACAGGCCAGGAGCTTTCAAATGCCTGCTCCAACCCTGCGCCGCCTGGTTCGAAGTCAACCTCTCCACCGCAGCTGCCACCAGTCTCAAGCTCTCATCGGCCATTATAGCCAGAGGGCCAACCTTCGGGTAGTAGGTCTTGGTCACAACACCTGCTTCCCCTTCTCCTTTCACTCCAAACTCCAACCCACTGTGGGTGATGATCTCCCAGAACCGCCAGTTGCTCACTAGCACCTCCAGGTCCTCTTCTTCTGTGTTTTCCTTCAGGTACTCGACCTTCTGGATAAAGCGTCACTTGCTAGGCACCACCACGGTCACCTCCTTCACCTCGTTCTCGTTCTGCTTCCACTTCACCACCAAGCTCACTCTCAGGGCTTTCTCGCTTCTTGCCCACCTGATTCGTCCATCGTAGGTCTCGGTCTGGGCGCACAAAGTGTGAATCTGCCGGAACTTGACCTTGCCTTCCTTGGGGACATGGATCCGCCCTGGTAGTAGTGGATCTCCTGTCGAGCCGAAAGGCCACCCGCTAGGCCTGCCAAAATCACCAACTCCAAAATCCACAAAGATGTAATCGACGGGGATGCCGTCCGTGCCCTTCTCGGGGTCGTGGTGCTCGTGGTGCAGCGTGGGTAGGGAGCCCCGGCGCTTACGGCCAGGGCTCCGCTACCATGAAAATGGACAAACGCGACTTTTCTCGCAAGTAGGCTTGGGCCTTGATTAGGCCAGCGGTACACTTCTTATGTGCGTGTTGTGCTCCAATGACTGCATGCTATGAAATGCCATCAATCTTTGTCAACATAACATATTGTATATATTAAATATATTTTGGAGATTGTCAGGTTGTTGATAGATGTTGATAGATGTTGCTATGCATGCATGCGGTTGCTGGTCTCATCGTTAGAACAAATTGAACGCTGGTGAGGACGAAGCACACACCGACCGGGAGCTGGACAATCAGTCAAATTCCAGCAGCCAAGTCTTGTTTTTGCACCCCAATGCCCCGTTGAAGAACATCAGGAGTCAGGAGCGCTCCGCGATGCACACGCCATTCTCACGTTGCGCGCCGAAAAGGTTGGACTTTAGAGGACCCATTTGAAGTCCTTGGTTAGTCATTCAGAGTTTATGAAGCAGCGTTCACGAAAGGAGGCGCTTCAATCCTTCAATTTGAGGATCTTTGAGGGGTGTTCCGCCAGAAGGAAGGCTGTTGGAACTCACTGTCAGCTCTGCAGCAAAAACTCTACAAAAAGAACCTGTGCAATGTCCCTAGAATAACATGTTTGTTCAGTAAAAGGCTATGGCTATAATGCTAGTGGACTGGGCGTACATGATACCCTGGAGATCTGTTATTTCGGCCACACTTGCAGACAGCACCACCTCCTCTTCTGGAATCTGGAGCCACACAAGGCATCCATCTTTCAGGTATTTTCGGTCTTGGGGGTATTTGCTTGGTGGATGAATCATGTATATAGATTGATGCAGCACACATGTGACGAGCTTTGACATCTAAATGGAAGGCTTTCACACATCTGACCGGCAACGCAAGCATGCACGATGCAAAAACAACCCACTTCTCCTCCCACAAGGTATTATGAACACCCAACCAGCTGCCTCTCACGCCAAGTCGTGGCCCAGTTCGAGGTGCGCTTGCCCTCCTGCGTGCCAGCTGGCTGTGAGATATACGGGGAGTCACACCGTGGATGTTAGGGCTGCTCCGACTCCAGGTATCTCCACCACGTCAATGTAGTACTTGGCCTTACGAAACTGTGGGGCATGAGACTACCTGAGGAAGGAATGAGAGCATGCGCTGGTGCCGCAGTCGATCCATATTGTCCCAGCTACAGTAACTTGAGCGGGGAACCACGAAAGGTAGAGACGGACTGGGTAGCTGTCGGGACCTGTTCTGGTGAGGGACTGTCTCCGGTGTGGCTAAGGAACGTTTCCCTTGGCCAATCATGGATGAAGCCAACAAAGCCAGAGAGCGCAGGAAGAATCAGGAGGAACACCGTTGCCGCCACGCGGCTCTGCAAAGAGGCTGCGTTGCGTCGATGCTCGTTTGTGTAAAGGTGTGTGAAAACAGGCGCGCGTAAAGGTCGCAATGCGTAAACGCTGGCATGTGTACCAGCTATGGTCTCACAGCTGCACGCACTGTGTCAGGATTACAGTACAGGCCTGCCAACGCCCCCCTTGTAAGGATAGTGCTAGAGGGTGCGGCTGGTACTGCCAGGGGTGGACATCATGCTATGGTGGGTGGCTGATGGGAAGGGTGCGTAAATAGCTGTAGTGTAGTGGTGCTCCACGATGCAGTAAGATGTCGCCACCCTAGGGAATAAGGCTGAGTCGAATGGTGCTCCGCGAAGCGAGAGGTTTCCCCGAGGCTGTGTTGCATCGATGCTCGTTGGTGTCGAGCAATATGGTCTGTGAACGCAGTACTCGCTGTGTCAGGCTGCCGGGTGCGCACGCGCGGCATCGAAGCCGCAGCAACCTCATTGTGCAGGGGTCGTGCTGTATTGCACAAGCTCATGGCCAGGGTCGTGCTGCTGTGACAGCTAAGCGCATGACTTCACCTTATGGTGTGATGGTGAGCAGGCTCTCAAGCCAGTCCCTTTGCTTCGCAAAGCAAACTCAAGGTATAGCGTCGGACTGAAAGATAGAATGCCTGCAAAAAATTAGTTTTGGAAAAATGGGGTGGCAGTTTTCGATAGTTTTCAAATCGGGGAACATCTAATAAAGTCCAGCAGAGTTAGAATGCCTACAGAGAAATCTAGTAGAACGCCCGGCCCGGCATTCTATCTTTCAGTCCGCTAGCTCTGAAAAGCACTGTTGTTGCCTTATTTTTCCGCTTTTCCTGGCTGTTTGCGCTCGCCTCTGTCGTGCGTGAAAAGGCACACCTTTCCAAAACAAGCGCTTTTATCCTCATGCGCCAATTTGTAGTAGTAGTAGTAGTAGTAGTAGAAGTAGTAGTAGTAGTAGGAGTAGTAGTAGTAGTAGTAGGAGTAGTAGTAGTAGTGGTAGTAGTAGTAGTAGCAGCGGGCGCACAAACATGCAGGGAATTGAAAGACAAGTTGCACACATAGAATGCCAGTAGTTGTAGTACTAGCAGTACTCTAGTAGTACTAGTACCAGTACTCTAGTAGTGCTAGTGCCAGAAGAAGGCGGCAGCAGCAGCAGTAGCAGTAGCAGTAGTGGTACTGGTACTGGTACCACTAGTGGTAGTAGTATATAGTAGTAGTTGTTGTTGTAGTTGTTGTTGTTGATGTTTTTGTAGTGGTGGTGGTTGTGGTGGTGGTAGTAGCAGTAGCAGTAGCAGCAGCAATAGCAGTAGCAGTAGCAGGAGCAGGAGTAGTAGTAGTAGTAGTTGTTGTTGTAGTGGTGGTAGTAGTAGTGGTGGTTCTAAGTAGCAGAAGTACAGGAGGCACCAAAAAGGGCTCACTTGCAATGCCCTACCAGGCCTTAGGGTAGGCGTTCTTTAAAAAAATGCCCTGGAGGCATTCTAAGTGGTCTTTATGTAGCTGGAAGCATTCAAATAGTTTGGCATTCTATCTTTCAGTCCGACGCTATAGTCCTTACCAGGCTACCTTTCGTGACATGGGCCGCAACAGCAGTGAGGTGGCGTCTTGCTGGCTCGCTCACATGTTGATTTGGGTCCCAAATCATAAATCAGCATCGCCAAATCAATTCATGAACCAGGACCTTCCCAGTCACTTCTCACTTGATCCCTTGCTTTGAGGTCACTTATCCGTCACTTATAAAGGCCGGTAGAAAGATCTACCATAGGGACCCCTTGAAAGGTCACTGGGCAGGTCCTAGAACTTATGTTTTTAAGTATACTGTATATATAGTTTGCCCATTTTTATGATCACTGGCTGAATCTCCTCGTCATCCCACATGCTGCCTGGCAGCGGGTTCGTGAAAAAATCTACACTCAGCCGCTTTGCAATACCGTGGAGGGTTCGGGAAGCACTCGAAGACTCTAAGACCCAAGCTGCGCCGCAGTGTTTGGGGAGAAGGAAAGTCAAAGGACTGAGCTTTGGAGGCACTGCAATGCAAAGTGGAAAGGGAGCTCCAAGGTTGCGTCATGTTCTTTTCGAACAGGAGGTATGAGAGCTCCTCTGAGGCCATCTTCTGTACTTTCAGGGGAGGCTATTCTCACCCACACCCGCTTGAGCAATGGATTGAGGACAAAAGCTTGCAAAAGCTTAAACCGTACCCCTTTGCGGACTTTGAGGTCAACCAGTTCAACTTAACCTGCAAAATGATGTTTGCTCACTTCAAAGGGATGCTTGGACCATTGCTTGAAACCTTGTTCAACGAGTTCTTACTTCGTCAAACAACCTCTGAACATCAGGAAGGTCCACAGGAACCACCACCTCCGCAGAATTGTCTCTCACTGCGCGGGGCCAAAAAAGCACCGGGTCGACCCTCCCAGCTTTCACCCGGCACATGCAACTTTCGCAATGGGCCCAAGACACTGAACATCTCGAACATCTGAACATGAAAAGCATCTGAACGTCAGTAGAACAAACCAAGTGATGACCTCCCAGTACTTCTTAATTAACCAAGGGTCAAGGTCAAGTCAATGGATTCCAAAGGGGGCAGTGGGTGTGCGAATAGACCCGCCCCCCCCAAAAAGAACAACAAAAAAAACCACAGTCTGCTGCTGCTGGTGCGCGCAGTCAGCACGTGCGCCCGGGCCTCGCCGCTTGGTTTTCTCCTCGACGGGCTCCGGCGTCCAAACGCGGAGCCTTCGGGAGATGGCGATGCTTGGCTTCGCGCAGCGGTGGGACGCGTCTGTGGTTCCGAGACCCACATGGATTATGAAAACCACGGGGTTGTTAGAGGATCGCAACATGAGGAAACCAGCGAAATCTCAGGGTGAATTTAGGATCGTCTGCCGAGGTGTGGAAAGTGAAGTTGGAGGCGCCTTTGGATTTGGTGAAAAAGCATTGAACAAAATCCTCCCATGGCACAGGATTTGTGGCGATGTTCTGGGAGGAAGGGCATCGACCGCCGTCCCATCCAGCTAATAAGGTATTCTGGATTGGCCTGGACTCCGAGGCTTTTGCCAGTGCTGCTGCTTGAAGCATTGGGTGCTGTAAGGTGAGCTCATGCACACCTTCCAGTATGTTGGAGAATCCCGAGCTCGTTTCTGAGCCTCTTGGAGCAATTCCATCCCTTTTCCATCTTTGGCCCATCAAATTGTCCTATCCACCTCATCTCCACCTCATCTCCTTTTCTCCGCTGGGCCCCACGACTTGATCTTGTCCCGGAGGTCGCGCCACAGCGCAATCTCCGGGTATTGCATCATCACCTCAGCTTCGATCGCACGCTTCGCACGCTTCGCACGCTTCCGGCGCCCGCCCTCGTGGATGGATGGATCACCCAAATGAGACAACAAAAGATTGGATGGCGTTCTTGATCACCAATGGACGGTTGTGGTATATAAAACTTATATTATACATATAGTATAATAGCAATTTACTTTAATCTGTATCTCTGTATGATTCTGTATGTGTATATATGTGTGCCAACCGTTCTTTGGTGATGGTTTGTAACACCAGCATTGAGAAGGTTCCTGGCAACACAAGAACTTCATCACCCCTTTTGTGAAAATGTCTCAGGCACGCCTCAGGCGTTCCTGGCGTCAAAACGGAGACCTCAACAGCCTGGACTGTCTCCTGGATCCCGGAGCCCCAATGACAGGGCGTGTCCATATCGTGAGATGGACGATCAGGCGAAACCGTGTCCCCCCCAAGGTTGCGGTCAAGGAGCACCTGGCTTGGAGAGAATATGGCCGACAGGGGGGCGGGACTGCCATAATTCTTCGCTGCCCCATTGACACCCCCCCAAACCACCCCAATGTGGGCATCAATGGCAGTCCCAGACAGGTCGTGTCTGGGATCTATAGAATATATTAGTATGTCCCATGCCGTAATGGACGATTCCGGGCAGTCGATCTCCGGACATATCCCTGAAAAAAGACCAGGAGCCCTGTCCGATCGCTCCGTTCGTAGCGAATGACCACCTTAAGCAGTCTCAGCATCTTGGCATGCAAACAACGCAGGTCCGAAACCAAGCTAGACGCAGTTCCTCAGTGGAATTTCTAGGCTTGCCAGCCGACTGGCTTCATTATCTTCATTTTCAGTGCAGTGTCCCCTTATCTTTAAAAAAACACGGCCGAACATGGCCGAAGCGTCTCCTCGGCTTCAACAGGACCTTTCGGCTGCCTATTTAGCCTTGAACATACCGCTCCGAGCTCCACTCGTTGGCCCCACCCGTTCGGAGACTGGGCCGCCCTCACTGGATGCCAATTTCCGCGCACGCAATCGTTGTTCCTTTTTGGGGGGTTCCGAGCTTCGGTGTACTTCTCCCATCGGAGGCTGGGAAGCTGGGGAAGTTACGGGGAAGCTTCTCCCAGCATGTCCTCAACCCCCAGCATGTTGGGCGAAGAATGTCGGACTGCCCCTGATGGATGACAGTGAAAACCCGTTTGGTCTGGCACGATAGTCTTTGGAGAGTTGGCAGGACACAAGTTGAAATATGGATAGTTGGCTCACGAATGGATGGCAACAAACATTGAAGTCAAAAGTGTGTTTTAGCCACCTGGAGCGCCTCGTTGGGAGTCAGGCAACTTATATATATATATATAAGCCTCGGGCCAGTGCCAAAAACCATCAAAAACCTAACCTGACTGCCATCCTAACCTAGCTTGTCCTTCCATTCGAATGGTACGAGGTGCTTCTCTGGGATGGCATGCTTCCAAGGGTTCACCAAATGCCGCTATATTCCTACTTGTGCTAGTCATTTGCCCATCTGTTGCTGCTTGCGGCATGGAACTTCCCACCTATGTAGGCTGAGAGCTTCAAAAGGTGTGTGCTTCATGTGGTCCCGAACCCAGGTGACAAATGTTCGGGTGAATTCACCCCTGGAGTGGTCCTGCCAGCTTTCGATGGGTGGATGCTTTCGATGCAGCCATGAGCAATCATGAGCAACTCTGGATGCTGGTTATTTTGACCCCACCGACCAATACATGCGATACCAAACATCCCCTGGCGATACCCAACATCCCCTGGCTCCTCTTGGCTTCTGCCATAGTGGTACGATTGAGCGCGCAAAGAAATTGCCTCGGACAAGGAGTCGAGATGCGTGTGTGCACATGTTTGTTTGTTTGCCTTTTTTTGGGGGGGGTGCAGCTTCCTGAAACCTCATGATTGACACATGTTGAAAGCATATTGGGTTAAACAATGAGGCGACCGTAGCCTGCCTTCTTGGCACATGCCAACGGCGTTCACGTCCCGATGTTCAGCAACTGCACGACTCATCTGAATCATACTGAATCCTTTCACGCATGGCAACCCAACGGCAAAGTCTTTAAAACATCAAGTTGATGATCTTGGCCAATTGACTGCATTTGTATCCATTTAAGTTTCTTCACAGTTCGGAATCCGGTGAGGTCATCCAACATTATCCATCTTTGATTCGCTTGATAAATACCTCCGGGTATCTCCGGGTCCATGGCACTGGCTCTGCGAGCCCCCCCTGTGTCGCTCCAAAAAGCAGGGAGACACGGACGTAAGGGCCGTCGGTTAGGTCATTGTGGTCGCAGTGGAGGTGGAGGTGGCTAGCAATGGTCTAGTTGGTGAGACCTTTAGTGGTGGTGAATCCCTGGTCAACTATGAATATAATCGAATATACGATCACTACATATCACTATAACAAGAAGAAACATGAAGCTACTATAGGACAAGAAGCTACTATAGGACTCAGCGGTGAATTCTCATCCTTCGCCCGCTGGGGTCGAACTGTCGAACCACGAGTCGATACCGTCCAAGCTGCGCTCGATACCGCCGTGGGGCGCAATCATACGCCGTGCCTCGGGCTTCGCGCCCCACGTGGGGCGCCAAGCCGGCCGAAAGGGGGTCTGCCCAGGGGCGCCCTTGGTGTTTCTCCTGCCAAGATGCATAATTATACGACCTGCATAAAATCAGGAGCAAAGATAGCTAACATACCATCAACCAGGGCAAATCATGGCAAATCCATAGAAATCCTGCACAAAGCGTGACAAAGTAAAGTTTTGCTCTGTCCAGCTGCTACCTCAGCAGGGCACAAAAACACTGTTAAAACATGTTAAAGGCAAGGTGCGTCTTTGAATTCACCCCCAAAAAAAAGATGATCCTCCATGAATCCCTGAAAGCAGCCGAGGGTTTGATCACCCTTAAGCCTAATTATGGATTAATAGCCTCTGAACTGCCTGCCCCTGCCGGACAAGGACCCAACGATGGCCGCCCCATCCTCGCCCCATTTCGTCCGCCCCCACCGGTTCCGAGGGGCGTAGCGAGGCCGAACCAAAGAGGTCCAACAAGCGATTGGAGTCGAACCATTCCGAAAGCAAGACCTTGGTCTGGACGCGTTGGGACGCCGTGTGGCCGTCGTCTTCTTCCGCCGGGACGCGCGTGGTGCTTCACCCGAGACGGTGGAAACCCGCTCCCGGGGGTTCGAGGATCTGTGGATCGAAGGCGTAAACCGACGGAGATGGGTTGCCGTTTTTCTGAACGTCGGTGGTTTGCCGCAATGTGTGTTTTTCTTCTTTTCAGGGTCTGTTCTGTGGCGTAGTGTTCCTCCCTAGGGGAACCAGCAGAATATAGCGGTACGTGATATGACAGGGGCTTCAATCCGCTTCAAACTCTCTCTCTCTCTCTGTATAGATCTCCTAAAATTGTCAACAAACTCTCAGTCGAGGTGTGCACGGTTGACCACCCGATGAACAACCCCCCAGCAAGGTCTGTGGACCAAATAGTGTGATTAACCTCATCAGGAGAGCTCCCAAAAACCAAGTCTCTCCATCAGGAGAGATCCCCAAAAACCAAGTCTTCCCATCCTGTTCCTCGCCCAGGCCACGACCGGTGTTCTTCGCGTGGTTCCACGTGGTTCCTCGAGGTCTGAGGCTTCGACTTGCGGTCGGCAGTTCATCCAACTGGTGGACGCGGTGAAGGCCTTGGATTGACACCAAAAGTCCTTAAGACTCGGAAGGCACCAGAGGGGGGGCTGGGGAGGCCATGCACAAATCCATGGCCAGAACAAAAAGAGGACATCCACCCCTAGGAGTCTCCAACCATATTCTCAGAAGGTGATTAGGACCCCCTCACAGCCACCCCAACCATCGTCGAAACGGAGGTAGTTGGGGCACACATGGAACGAACACTGTTTGCCCAGCTCCGTCAGCCTCATCTGCCCCCACATTGGAAGGGAAGGAGTCTTGCAGGTGAACTGCCACTTGGGCCGGGGGTAGAGATGAGTGGAATCACTACTATTGATCCGTGAAACCACCCCAATTGTCGGTCAATATGCCAGTCTAAGACGGCACATGACTGCGTCTTACCCTCCAATCTGAAAAAGAGCGGACCTATGGAATCCGGGCTCATGGACCTGTGGAGCCCTTTCTCCGTGAGACTTCCGGAAGCCCCGGAAAGTCGTCCTGGCGCCAGGACCGGCGCTTTGAAAACGACGTCTCCTTCATCCCTAAAATTGAGCGTGGTGAGGCATAAAACATCATTTAAAACAACATAAACCATAAAAACATTATAACACCTGTCGACTTCAGCGTATTAGTATATATTGTCATAATTTGTCATATCTTTCATCTTTCCGCTCATCCTCGAACCTCCCCAACAACTCCGAGTCACTCTCTTCCACTCCACAGAACACCTCAACTGGGTGCCCGAGCCACCAAAGACCGGGACAACGCCGGCCCAGGCACCTGCAGATCGCCAGCCCTGTAACTTCATGCAGGGCCCGCACAGGGCGGCTCCGCCCGGCGTCGCAGGCTCCGCGCGACCCGCGCGGTGGCGACCGGTCGCGCGCGGGTTTTCGCGGCAGGACGCACGGTGATTTCGGTGTGGGGGGGGTTTGGTTGGCAGGTGTTTGATGGTCCATTATGTCGGATTTATGTTTGATATTGTTTGATTGACGGTTCTTGGAACCGATTGTTTGAATGGATATGTGATTTGTGTATGGATGCAAGAAGGTTCAGGTTCGGGGCACTTCCTCATACCCTGCCAAGCCCTTATGCATGGACAGCTTGAAAGAAAGAGGGTTTGTCATGTGGGGGTGGATGTTCTCCTTCAACCACAGGAACCACTTGCCACACTCAAGACAGAAGGTAACCAAATGGACATGAGACTCATTCTCTCCTACAAGCCACTACTGTTCAACATAAAGGACATTGACATTAATTGAAGAACTGGAGACGCTGTCAATAGCCACCACTGAAAAAGGAATAGATCGTCTTCTCACGCTACCGTGTAACTTGTAGTGATTTCTGGTTTTGATGTGCACAATGTTTGGTCAACACCTACTGGCCAGTGATAATGGCTAGTAAAGGCTCAAATGTTCGAACGCGGTGACAATTCTACTAACCTCTTCCATGTTGAGTCTGTCCTATTCTCGGCACTGATTGGACAAGGATTCACATGGGATTTATCAGTCGAGGGTGAAACCCACTCCATCAAGCCCTGCAAATCTGCTCCTAATCCACGGCAAAATCCCGCCATTTAGGCGAAAGGCGCCCAAGATGAAGTAATCTACAGTGGGTTTTCAGAGGTTTGATGGCGCTGGAACCCAAGGGGTCCATCTAAACCACCAAACTTGGGGTAACTTGTGCCATCGAACCTCTGAAACCACTGCATATGTAGGTTCTGTCCAATGTCAAACGGTCTTGTTAGCAAGTGTACGGAACCCTTGAGGTTCACGAAATCCAAGCAGTTGTGGAAGCCAGGGCCAACTGCAGTTCAAACAAGTGATTTGTCCAACCATGTCCAACCCAAACAATGCAAAAGGATCATTTGGGGTTTGCCTGGCGTGTTGTTGTGGAAGCTTTGCGTGAGGTAGATGGCACTTGCGCGTAGGAAGGATACAAGTTGAGATTCATGTCCAGGGAATGTCCTCATGCAACCGGGGATTGGTGTGCAAAGTGAAGTTGTGACGCAGCTGAAAAAAACAGAAACAAGAAGCGGGTAGTAGCAAGGTGCCTTACTAATAGTAGTTGTTACTATACTAGTAAGGCACCTTGCTACTAGTAACAAGAAGTTACTAGTAACTAGTAACATGGCGCATTTCTTAGGTTCTTGGAGTTATGGATTCGATGGCAGCGGCCTCTTTCAGTTCCCGGCTCTAAACAGCAAACGCAGGTGTTGACACTGGCAGGCGGTGCCAATGGTCCTTCGGGAACATATCACTAGCATTAGCTGCTTCCAGGAGGGTTTTGAAGATGAAGTTGCTCTACCTAAGTGACTAATGTTTGTTTTGGGGAGAGAGGGTATCAGTAGTTGTGCAATGCTGGTCTGGGATCATGTTCAAAGCAACCCCCATTATCTCTAGACTATTTCCCACAGCTTGAGTTTAGAGTCTTGCCGCCTTACTCAAACGGCCTCAATGACTAGACCCTGCACCGCAGGGTGTGTGGGTGTATCTTTTCTGCCTTGGAATGGTGCATGTCGTGGTTCCAGGTCCTGAAACCATTTCACTACGAAACCCTCTGTGCCCTGAAAGGGCACTTTGCACCTCCCCCCTCTCCAGTTAGAGCCAGGACGGCGTGCAAGAGCCTGGTGGCCTGCACATTCGCGAGTGGGAAAGCGTGCTACACTGTCGGCATTCTGATGGCATTCTGGCGTTTCGCTATGAAAGACAAAGCTAGGACCGTGATTTGTTTCATCTACCAGGTTAGCTTGGGTCCAAGTAAACTTCCTCAGAATCATAGGACACAAACCCACGACACTTTCGGGGGGATCTCCTGTGACATGAATTTCGAGTACTGGAATCCATCGCTGCTTCTTCTGCTACTCTGTGGTCTCGGGGCACAAGTCCAACAGACTTCCCTTGCAGCGTCCGGACAGTTCCAAGTGTGAAGTCTAGCAGTGTCCACATCAACCCTGACCGAAAGAGAAACTTGACATGTTCGATGCGATTGACAGTTGATGTGCAATCATCCTGCGAAATCTGTACCTCACAAATCACTGCCGATTTGTAGAGTGGCATTGCTGACAGCTAGGTAACTAAACACTGGACCGTCCAAATAGATAGGCCATAGTTTGTCCAAGTGAAGACCGGAACAGCCTCCTTTCGTGACCGTTCCTTTCGATGTGGGGTGCTCCTTGGCCCATGGTGGTGTCTTTTGAGAGTGGTGTGCGGTGCTTTTGGGTGCACTTTGCAACCTCGCCGCATCAGCTGCTCCCACCAAGTGCACGACTTTTCCGGTAGACGGTCCATAGGTCTGCATACTCAATCTGAGCGCATTTAACATTCTTTAGTCTTGAGTACTTGAGAGAGGAGGGGGTGAACGAAAGGTAGCAGGCAATCACAAGCAACCCTGGTAAAAGTCCATGACGGCGTGAACCGGCGCAGGGGGGATTTGATCCAGGGGGGGGGCACCCCCCCCCGACGAACAGAATCAACTCTTACAGGACCAAACTCAATGCACAATCCCAACTCCTGATTGTAATACATTTTTGCTAAAGCAAGGAGAACTCAGGTAGCTCAAGCTACCTTTCGTGATGTGGAATACTGATATACAGTTTACAGATGTTTACAGTATACACATGATTGATATTTTTCCTATGCACAAATAACATATTATAGAAAATCATCTAGATCTATATAATCTACTTCATCTACTTTGGCCTCAGGCAGCCACCCTTTTCCACCGGCCCATCCCCCATCTCCCCTCGCCGCCTCCGCGAAGAGCGCCTCTTGCGGTCGTTCCGTCATCTCGGGCGTCACCACCACGCCCATCACGAGGCAAATGGCCTGGGGAGCGTCTCTGGTTGTGCCTGCTGACTGGGCGCTGACTGAGAGATTCCAATCTGCTCGAGAGAGCTCGCCCGGAGTCGGAACCCGGAGCATGGCCATCATGCGCACGCCTCAAGATCAAAGCGAAAGAATCATCATGGATATTTTCACATGGCTTGGTACCAGGACCCTCCAAGGGGTGTTTAATGAACTACCCTACACTACCTATAGGCTTCCAAACAGGGCCCCTTGGAGGGTCCTGGTATTCCAATAATAGGGGGGGCTTCCCAACCAATGGATTAGAGTGGCTCAGGATTGATCAAACATGATCAAACGATCAAATGCAGAACTTGCACGATCACCCGAGGTGCGACTGTGCTAGGGGCCATGTACCATGCAGTCTCAAGGGGTCTTCTAAGATCTTCTAAGAAAAATATACCTCTTGGGGAGCTCAACGGTCTTGAACGCAGCATGTGAACCCTACGACTACTTTCTGGAACTACCAGCAAAAATGGTAGGGCCAGGGCCAGCACCATCTTTCTTTGGGGTGATTTGTGGACCACCCAGCTTGTGAAAGAAACCCAGGTTGGGATGGTGGAGATGCACTCCAGGTTGCTTCGCAACCCCGAACTTTAAGCTAATAAGCAAGTAAGCATGCAAAAAAGGACACATGGAGCCTTAACTGTAACACCCGGTGGCTTGTGCAACGTCCATCGACTCAGAAAGGCTCGGCAAAACCGAGAAACACATCTGCTACGTCCTCTGAACAGGACTTGCTACGTCCTCTGAACAGGACTGTGGTCGTTTATACTGGGGAAAAAAGCAACCTAAAACTAGCCCAATGTATGCCCATGTCTGTCCCTAGTGACCTAGTGTCTCTCTCTCTCTCTCTCTCGCCCTCTCCATGAGACTAGCCGTGCATCTGCACGTGGCATCACCCATCGTCTTGGCTCAATTGCTCTATATTGCTCTCCAGGTGTGGAGGAACCAGGTGGAGGCATCACTCGGCACTCTTCGAGCTGCCCCAGTGGCACACCCTCCGCAGCCCCCACACATGGCGGGTCCAAACCAGGAGACCGACCGGTTGACCTACCGACGTCACTTGCGCATCCAGGCTAGCGCTTCCCGTGGTCCTTCACCAATGGTGGGTACCAGGGAGTTGGGGTATATCTTCGTTCGCTACATGGATTTTGACCAGGGCTCCAGCTTGAACAATGACCCATCCCCACTTTTTTGGCCGAGATCGTTGCAAGCCCTCATCAGTCAGCCCTTGGTGAAGATTGAACCATCTTGCAGCTGGAGCGGCCCTGAGCACGGAGCGTTGCTCTTCCAAGCCTTGCGTGGGCATGCACGCACGCAAGCACGACGCGATGCGACGCGAGCTCGCTCAAGAAGCACGGAGCGTTGTGTTGAGGAACATCGAGGAACTCTTTTTGGCGAGCTCGGCTTCTTGGGACGGATAGCCAAAGGGGACCAAGGGAGGTTCCAACATGTTAAATACTTCCAGGCCTCTGAAACACCAAAAAACACATCATATGGACTCTTGATTCATACATATTCATACGTATGAGGAGGTTGTACAATCCAAATGTGGAGGTGTTATTTCAAGACTCTACATCATCACCTACCACTGCTTTGGAAAAAAACACCCGTCGGCTCGCCCGAGGAAAAAGAAACAGAACATGTCCCACATCCAAGTGGTCAACATGGCCATAGTCCTTCAGCTCGGCCTTCCTTCAGCTCCGCCGCAGCGTCCGTGAGGCGCTTGAAGGCGTCGTGCGCCTGTGCTGGACGCGTCGTCCGTAAGGGCTGGTACCAGTAGATGGTAAATAGATGTAGATAGAGATAGATAAATCAAAGACTGTTGGATGTTTCTTGGTTGGTTTTCACATTGCAGGTGTCACCCAGTCTTCAATGATCGTTTTGTAATGTTTTGTATGGGCCTAGGTGGGACGGGGTTGCCATCTTAGTCACTATAGTCTGCAGTCACGGGTAGCAGCTGTAAGTATCTGCAGCTCCAACTGCTTGCAGAAGAGCTCCTCGTTTGAAGCCCAGCTGTTGGGGCGTACTTGTCCTTGATTGGGATTGGATTTTTGTTTGCCAATGAACATGATTGTACGGCGATGACTTTACCACCTGGCCAGCAGTTGAATTTTTGCTATCCCCCTGCCATGTGTTAACCTTTTGAGTGCTCTTGTCAGGAGTTCAGGTCAAGAAACTGCATATTTGGGGTTCCAGCTGACTTTCTTAGAAGATCAGTTCCTTCCAAAAACATTATCCTTCAACAAATGTCAACAAATATGGATACAATACAAATAGCCTCATTGCATGAGGCACCTTGTTTACAAGGATCTCATTCGTTCTCAAAACAAATTTGAACATGTGTTATCTTCTTGGTGCCCTGGCCACCCTTGCTAACAGCTCTTTCTTCCGCCATGACGAATGAGACACACTCTTTCAGCACGGACATCAGGACTTCATAGCCCTCCTGCAAACAGGGTGGAATCTGAGAAACTGCGTTCTTGGATGTTCTTGGAAGCGAACATGACATGACCACAAGCAAACAAGCCCAAACACCTCCATGTAAAATATTTTGGCGTGCCAGGCAGAACTGTGTCCTTAAGTGTTGTTCGACGCCATGGCACACCGATTACGCGCTGTTGGACGCCTACGGCGTTTCGACCTACGGCGTTTCTATTACGCCACCCACGACGAGACGCCAGGATCGATACCCTAAACCCGTATCGATGTATCGGTGTATCGGCGCGCTTCAGCTGTTCGGTGTGTGTCTCGGCGTATGGGACGGGACACGGGGTTCACTTGTTCGGGACACGTTTTCCGCAAAACCCCTTGCAGGCGCGTTGGACATAATGACATAGATGGAGTGTCTGGGAAAACTAACTTTGGCTGAAGGACGAACATCCAGAAAAAGGAACAACTTATATTATATCATATTATCTCTACTCACTCAATCTCTAAATGCATCACACTTCCTTAGCCAAGATCCAGGGCTCCTTTGTATAGTGATGATGATCACATTGCTTTGGACTCTTAATCTCCAGGTGTTTCCTCCAATCCACCAGGCAGCTTTGCGACCAAGGCCCACCCTTCAGCATCGCGCCCCTGACGGCCTCTGCGAAGAGTCCGCTGAGCCGGTTGATCACCACAGAGCCCTGCTGTGCTTCGGCCGGACAATTGGGATTCGTCCGCCAAAGAGTGGCCTGCACCGAGAGATTTTGTGCAGAGATGCCTTGCTGGAAGGACTGGAGGAAGCTGCTGGCTCGGTCTAACCAGCTCCACTGGGACAAGTTGGCTTCGGAGAGCTGCGCTGCAGCGAGTCTTTGCAGATCGGAGTCTTTCATCTGTGAGACACGTGTCCCAACCAAACTTTCCAGGACGGCCATGCTGTCCCACATGGAGGATTGCAGCAAAAGTATCAAGGGCCTCTTGGGAAGGAGCTGCTGAATCACATCAGGCCAAACAAACTGCGCCAGGTCTGTGCTTGGGGCCATCCACCTTTTGCGCCGCCATAAGGGGTAGTGAGTCTCAGCCCTCCTCTTGGCAAAGTCTAAGTACCAGTGGGGTTGAGGTAAGAGGCTGAATAAGCCATAATGAAAAAAGAACATCACCGTAAGATTTCTTTCTCGATCATGACAGAATTGGGTCCTAGCTGCTTCTGGCCACATGATGCTCCCATTGAAGTCACCTTTCTGGACGGCCACCTTCTCGATATATGTGATTGGATCAAAGCGCCCAGTCAAGCGTCGACATAAAATCACAAAGAATCGCTGATCGTTTGAGTCACCTGCAATGATGAAGTTCTTCTCTCGCAAGGAGACCGGAGATCGGAGAAATGGCTGGTGGGTCTCTTGCAGGGTCTCGTGAAGTGTAGGCAGAACTTCCAGCTTCGTGAAGCCTTTCTGCCGTGTGGTTGTTGTTGAGCTTGTGGAGCTCGTTGGTGGAAATTGCGATGGCTCTTGGACCCCGGCACTCGTCCTTGGGCTCAAACACTTGACTGGAAACACGAAAACCCCAAAATGATGTTGATCATGACTGGAGATGAATACTGTAATGGTTGCTCCTATATTGCTATTAATGAGTATGTAATAAAAACATGCTGGGTGAGAAAATCAGCATGGCTTTTCAGATGCCAACAGGGCTTTTTCACTTTGCCGCCCAGAATCCCCGGTTCTCGCAAGCCTCAGCTTGTGCATCAATATCAGTACAGATCTTTTATGTTCTGCTCGTTTGGGGGGGCCTCTGTGTGCAGGCACAACGGTTCATGGATCCTTATAGCCAGGGTTTTGAGCGCGATGAAAAGGGCCAAGATTGTGATGAAAAGCTTTGAGGGTTAATAAAGCGAAGTCCAAGAACCGAAACCAATACATACGTACAGTGGTAGAGGTTCGTCTTTTGTGGGGTCCATCTGACCCACCAAACTTGGGGTGCTGCCATCGAAGCTGTGAGGTCCTCACTGTATTACTGCTTTGGCTGCTTTTAAAAAAAACACATGGCATGTGTGGGACTTTCGCAGCACTGGGATGAGACTTTCCGCGATTGAGCCCAAAAGGATTGGGGCCTCCAATGATGCCCTTTTGGGAGCAATAGAGGGTTTGGCTTGGTACCATTGACCTATTGGTTGTACGCTTCAGGGTCTCCGCTCCGAGAAAAGAAACAACCCAGGGCTTTTCAAGGCCAACGATGGAGGTCATCATCATCGATCATCAGTCTTGCGCGGAAGAAGCCACGCTTCCGATGCCGAGCAGCAAAGGAACAGTGCCATCGTACAAGCACCCAGTGCAAAAACACGGCACCATCTCTGAATTCCCATATTCACTGGCTATGCTGGTGCCTTCTGTTATGGGCGCAAAGAAGTCATCGTGTTCAGAAATGCTGGCAATGATCTCCGGGAGAAACATTGTTATCAAAGAGAAACCTAATTCTTTGGAGTATCAAAAGTCTTCAAGTCTTCAACCATCTTCAATGATGTTGTTGGGTGGTAGTCATGAAGTCATGAAGCAATCCCACAACTCCTTCATAGTCTCATTCGACGTGGATGGCTTTGTTTTTTTGGACCATCTTGCGCAAAAATGGCTGCATGAGCGAGAACCCTTGGCATTACTTATAAACATACTTATCCCGTGTCATTAATCAATTGCAAACTCAATTGCTCCACCAACAGTGCTTGGACAGCACCAAGAAACGAAAGCACAACGGTTGATCTTCCGGTAATCCGGAACGTTGATCAATTAACCCCGCCTTTAAATAAATGATTGTAGAACCTCCTTCACGGTGTTCTATCAACGGTCTTCCATGGTGCCCACGATGCCATGTCGAAGCAACACACAGACGAAAGGAACAGGACACAAACGAAAGCTCTGAACCGGGTCGTTCAGCAGAACAACACCCTGCTGAACCGGTGTCTAGTTGATCGCTTTTCCCATTGTAGGGTGCTGGTTGATCCTTCTCCGACCCGACATATTTGCAAAGGGTGGTTTCCTACGTATGGTTTACCTAATTGTTCCAATGTTTTACTCAAACAACTGCATTGGCCGGCCCCCCCCAACAAATCCAACACTTACACCAGGGATTCCATGTTCGAGGTGCCCATTGAAAGGAAAGAACCCATTGATCATCATTGAATCCACCATGAATTATCCACACTTGTCTACATATTCCATGATCGAGATTGGAGTCGAAGTCATCCAATGAGGTCGTTTCGTCTACCACCCTCTGCGAGTCTAAGAGTCTGACCAGTTCCCTCCTTTCATCCCGACGCGTTCGCCTCGGGGATGTCGGGGTTCTTGTCTGGATGCAGAGCTCGAGACAGCTGCCGGTAGGCGTAGTTGATGTCTGCCTGGATGGAAACCAAGGGAGCCCAATAACGATCAATAACGTGGTGTCTTTATGAGCCCAGTGGTCAGCGGTTGGCTAAGGCTTTGGAGTTGTCTTGGTTTATAAAAGGGGGCTATCCACAATGAGTCAACTCCGAGATGTGTGAGAGTTCTTTGGAAGGGCTGGACTGAGTCTTCTCAGCTCGTTCATGAACCACTTCGAGCAAAACAGCACGGCTATATCAAGGATTCTTTGCCACCAACTCAGTGTTATTACCTTCACCGCAGGCAAGGAGGAGGACATCTAAACTCAGTGATCCCATCTGTACGCCTTTTCTCTCCACGCAGCATGGGCACTGTGAAGTGGCCAAGGCTCAAACCATTGAGATCATACAGAATAACTTTTGGTTTGCTCATGGATTTTCAGAAAGCAGCTCTCTTGCTCTTGGAAGGCTAACTATTTCCACGAGTAATTGCATAAGTGGAAATCTTAAACATTCTTGGCCATGCACTGAGCTCCAAAGAAACCCAACCGCTCACATGAGCTCACCAGGCATCTGAGTCTCCCAAAGATCCCTTGAAAAAATCATCATCTACGCACATCAGAAATACCAAACGATGACTGGACAGGGCTTTTCCCCACCCAGCCAGTGCACTGCTCGTCCACATTGGGGACGACGCGGAGGGTCCTGAGATCCACCCTGCAGTCCAAACATGAGAGGAATCTTCAAGAACTGCCATATGAATCAAAATCGCCAAACCTGGGCCACCATGAATCTGCTGCAGGGTTCTCACGGGTTACCATCAACCTGAACTAACCTTCATGAACTGAACCACCATCTTCATTTCAACCTAGACCTCCCAGGGGGTGCCTAATAGAGATCCATAAGTATCATAAGTCATGGCTCTCAAGTTGTTGGTGGCAGGAGCTGCCGCGCCAGGCCAGGAACATCTGTAGGGAATCCTGCAAGTGAACCTACCAGCCAGGCTTTTGAAACTCCGGCACATTGTTGGAAGGAAGTTCTCAACACACCAACCACGGATCCCCAATCCAGGAGCCTGTGGACTTTGACTCTTCACCTCAGGTACGGTGAAATCGGATCCAACGACGGTGTAACTGGATGAGATTCCAAAATGCACACCCCAAACCAATTCAAGCGGCTTCCACTTAGAGACCTCTATAGCAAGAGCCTCTGCTCTCCACAGCGCCTCGACGCGCTCTTTTCCAGCGCCTTCCGTGCAGTAGTCGACTGCCATCTGGGCGGATCAGTCAGGGCACTTCTGCCTTGAAGCTGTAGCTCACCGGCGAAGCATCATAGTCGATCTCACTCACCTCGCGTCGCTCGCGAGGTGACACGACCCCGGGGTTGCTCACCGACCGATCGATGGGGTTGGGTTCCAAGGCCGAACTGGGTGGGACATCCGTGCGTTGGTGCCAGTTCCCATGGGAACTGGCTGGGTCCAAACCTGCAGGGCGGGTCAGGTCTCACTGGTCTCCGTGTGCTGGATGGTTCTGGTTCTGCCCCCAACCTTGGCATCTCCTGAGGTGGATCTGGAGCCTGGTGACACTTGGGCCAACGGCTCGGTGCGGGGCTCGACAAGCAGCGGCTGGGTGGAGCGGTGCTCCAGGAATGGGAAAGGCCTGCGTGTGACACCAACTGGCAGTGGACGTAGTCACCGGGTCGATAGAATTGCACCATGGTCAGTAGAAGAGTGGCCCACTTTTCTACCTGTTTGGGGGTCTATATGCCCTATTCTGGCTCAGAAGTGGTTGCACAAAAATAGCGGCCGGGACTAGGCCTTCAGATTCGTTGGTCAGTTCAGTCCTAAAAATGGCTCTTCTGTTGTCACTGTACTGTTGGAAGGTTCGGTCACGACACAGCCGAAGCTTCCGCCGAAGCTTCGGCCGAAGCTTGCGAAGCTAAGACTCAGAGCAAGACGGGTCACCAATTTGATCGTTCCAGGCTCCACTGACTGTGGGTATCGCGTCATCACTGCCACCACATAGGCCCAGTGGCTGTCCTGCGTCGCTGGTCCGACCATTGTCCTGCAAACTGATTGTACTTTCTAGCGTTTCTTTGGTGGGTGGGGTTGAAAGACACAGCTCATAGTCTGAACGGTCTGTCTCAATCGGGACAATGGTCCATTCGGATGTCCTATGTCATCTTGAAAAACGTGTCTTTCTCCCTTGGAGTGCGGCGGTTGTCTGCAGTCAGACGCAAGGGTGTAAACAAATCGAGTGGCCAAACGCTTGGACGGGTCGGATGCGTCAGATGGTAGGATGTCGAGCTGGAAGTGAGTAAATGCACTCCCCTCGGGACTTTTGGGTTCAACGCCCAAGTCTATATTGTAGTGACTTGAACCAAGACTTCTGAGCAGGTGCACACGCATGACGTAGCTGGAATTGACATGGATAGGGCTACAGGATTGGTCAAAGGCCAGATAGGTGAATCGGTCTAAACTCTTCACATCTGTTCAGGTGGCTATGGGTTTCCAAAAATCCGTTGCTTGACCACCGAATCGATTCCCCAGTCCCACCCGGTCCGGCTGCCCTCGGACTTCGATCACCTCTTGGTCGTCCACCACCACGCGTGTCCACATGGCGAAACCCGAAAAAGTTCCCTCCTGGCCAAGCAGGTTCGTCGTTCCGGCAGATCACGGAGATCATGGAGATGCGACGAGTCCTTTGGATTCGGATTTGTGGCGTTATGCCCGTAAGACATCATATTTATATAATATATATATATAATATATACCATTATGCATCAGTGGATTCGGCACATGAAGATGACCAAGACCACTGCGAAATTCTAATTAATTAAAGATAGCTCGAGAAAGCCACGCTCTCCATTGCTAAACAAAAGGCCCGGTAACAACTTGAAGGGTTGGTCGTTAGCCAGGTTGGCCAAGGATAGAAGACGAGAATTCGTTGAACGTCAGGCCAAGGACCAGGAGCTCGTGTGAAAGGAACCGACCACCCTGTTGAAACATTTTTGCGCACTGAACGTCCTGCCCGCCAATATTGAACGGAGAATTTAGGCTCTTAAACTCTGTGACCCCAAGTCACTGTCCCAAAGGTTGTAGTAGAAGCTTAGGCCCACTTTTAGCTCAAACTCGAACAAACGGATTGAACAAACGGCTGCAGTGAAACATACATCTATACAAGCTATGTCATGTACATGTAACTGGTGCTACATCTGATCACGCCTCCCGAGTTTAACATCTCCCAGAAGTTAAGCGAGTCAGGATTAGCACTTCGGTGAATTAGCTCGTAGCCCTTCAGTACATCTTGGTCTTGAAGAAGTACCTACTCTAGCTCAAGCCGTTCACGCTTTCAAAGTCAGCTCATGCTCACCTTCCAAGTAGTGGAAGTTCATGCCTTTCATGGCTGTAGTCATTTTCTCTTCGGTGACGGCTTTCGTTAGCACATCGGCCAACATTCGGTCGGTGCCTTCTTTCTTGAGACGAAACTCTTTCTTTGCTGTGCGCTCTTGTACCCAATGGTATTGAGTGTCAACATGTTTAGCTCGTCCCAAACCTCGACGGTTTCCCATGGCGATGCCAGCGGAAGCGTCCATTGTCACCTCTTTGCTGGGAACAATCCCCAGTCTCTTGCTGTTGATGCGATTCCAAGCATTTGACATGCTCCAGAAACAAGTCCGTAGTACTCGGATTCGCCACTGCTCAGGGAGACAACTCCTTGGCCTTTGCTGTATGTTGTAAGACAGCATTTGTTGGCCATGAGCACGCCTCCTGACACACTCTTTCGTGTCCTTATGCAACCTGCATGGTCGGCGTCTGACCACATGTTGAAGGGGTTGCAGGTGCTTTGGTTTGGAAACAACTGTGCAACTCTTGGTCGATACCTGACATATCGAGCCAATCGTTTCAGCATATTCCAGTGCCTCGATGTTGGGTTCTGTAGACCTTGTGCCAATGAGCGCGTTGCAGTTTGCAGATCAGGTCGATCCTGTGCCAAATACGCGGCTCTCATAGCAATAGATCTATACATCGTTGCATCTTCGGCACTCAGCGGAACTTCTTCATGTTGGAGTTCCTCTTGACTTGGCTTGGCCAAAGGTGTTTTGACCTTGCCTGGTTGACCAGTGCCTAACCACTTGATGATCAACTCTGCATGTCTTGGATCTGGTTCCCACCAAATGCCTTCATTTGACCAGGTGATGATGCGATTCAGCACTCTGATCTGTTGGCTTGCCTTTGGTGAACCTGGTGGACCGAGAATGCCTCGTTCCACAACTTGCCATTCTTTGGCTGCTGAAGTGTGAAACCATTTGATGTCATCAAAACTTCCAACTGTCGTGAAATCGTCTCCATGCACTTCTGTTCGAAGTTCTCTGGATGCATGGTAGTAGATGCATGGGTTGGACTTGCCTTGAACAAATCCTAGCTTCTTCATGAACTCTGCAATGGTCAGCTCCCAATTCATGGGTGCGTCTCTGGTGCCGTAAAGGCTTCTGACCAATCTTCCTACCACATCTCCATCTTCTGGTTTCTTGCCTTCTGATGGAATTTCAACATAGAGTTCTCTTGTTGCTTTGGAGTAGAAATGAGCTCTCTTCACATCTAAAAATCCTAGGAAAGATTGCTTTGCTTTTCTTCTTTCGCCTTTCTCCAATGGAAGGCTGTCGCTGACTGCGATGGTTAGCAGTAGCTTCAAAGCTGCAAGGCTCGGCATAGCTGCGAAAAATTCGTCAAAACCTGAGCCTCTTTTGATCTCTTGCGCTACCAATCGACTTCTGTAGAGAGGATTGGTTTCATCTTGCTTGTTCACATCTACCCATCGAGTTCCAATGATTTTGGTTCCTTTTGGAACTTTGCTTCTTGGGATCTTTTCCCAAACTCCCATTGATTCGACAATGTCGATTTCATCTTTTCTGGCTTTCTCTACCTTCTCAGGTAGAAGCTCTTTTCCACTGATGTCATCGTAGTACCACCAGTCTCTTGCCTCTTCTGCCATTTCTTCTGGCAGTGGGATCTTCTCTTCACACACTGGTTTCTCTGGGTCGATGCTAGATAGCACTCTCTCTCTGTCTTCTAGGATTAGATTAGGCTTTCTAGAGCCATCTCAATGCTCTGGATGTCTCTCGTTCTCTCGGCTTCATCTTCATGTTCGCCTTCTGCCTTTCTCTTCTTGTCTCTATCTACTCTGGCTTTTGCTGTGGGTGATCCTGCTGGTTCATGTTGTTCTTCGTGTTCTCTCTTTTCTCCATGTGGTTCAGGTTCGCGTGGTCTGCGAATACCTGATGCTGAAGCAAATGCTGTGCCTGGTGTTGGTGGTGCTGCTTCTGGTTCGTACCAAAGTTCTGTCACAATGTCCATCTTGTGTGGTAATGCTCCATTGAGTATCTCTGGTGGAAGGTCTGTTGTCATGACTCCACTCTCAATGATTGAATTGTTTGCATGGTTTCTTGTGACTCGGTGCCAGACGGTGGACCAATCAGGTCCTCCTGGCATGGTGGTTTGAAAACAGTAAGCTTCGACGTCAAGTCGTGCGAACACTCGACACGAATCGGGGACTCCCGATGGTCTTTTGCTTTCATATCCATGAAGGATTTGAGGTCTCTTGCCACTGACGGGTTGTGGCATGCCAGTGATTGCCTCTCCAACTCGGCTTTCATGTCTTGCTACTCTTGGGTTCTCTTCTTCTTCTCCTCTGATGCTCTCTTCAAGTCTGTCTCGACACCTGTTGGTGTGATGGATGCCTGTAGATCTTTTGCCAATCTGTGTGGCATCACAAGCTGGGCAACCTGCAGTATACCCAAACTTTTCCAGGTCTTTCTTGGTGATGTAAAGTCTTCTCAGCTTTCGTTTCTTGTCATCTATTGCCGGTGGTTGCACCAAAGCTTCACCACTTGGACTGGCAATGACTGGTTCCCTTGGGGCTGCAATTGCTGGTTCTTCGCGAATTGCTTGAGGATCCCAGGGAATTCCAGTGATCGATTTCAGCAACTCTGAATCATATCGATCTTCTTCTGGCTTTCTTCGAATGGATTGCACTGTGAAAACACCTGTGGAGTTTCCTACTATCTTCTCTGTGGTGGTGTCTTTCACTCCTAGAAAAATTCCTTTGGTCCATTGGGCCTCGAACTTGTGGCCTCTCTTGAGGTATTCGATGGCCTCACCAAATGGTGGAATTGCTACTTTCCATTCACGTCCACGAAGTCGTGAATACGGAGTCTTTCCGTCTTGAAGTTCGGTTGATCGGAAAAACAGATTGTAGACTGTGGATGCGTGTTCAACTAACCAAGTCAAAACAGGGGAATCGTCAGGAAGTTTCTCACCATAGTTTGACTCGATCGCGGCTCGAAGAGTCCTGGCTTGTCCTTCCAAGGTTTGAACTGCTCGTTCAATCTCTCCCTTGGATTCTTTGACTCCTTTCGGGCTCTTCTCGATGATCAGGGTTCCTTCAAACCCATTCTTTACTGCCTCAACAACAGAGGTGAGGGCAGGTTCAGGATCATGTCGAATGATCAGTTTGGAGTATCCTAGTTTCTTGATGTCGTTCAAAAGTACTTTGGATCCATATGGACCTTTTGTCACACCTTTGTAGGGCAACACATGAGCAAAAAGATGCTTTGTCCATCGATCTCTGACAACAAGAATTGGTGCATGGGTCTTCCCGTCCAAAACTACATCATCAGTTCGTGAATTCATGAAACAGTAGTCTACAGTCACTACTGGGGTTGTCTCATCGGTGTGGTCTATTTTCCTGTGGGGGTTTGCCTTTGCTTTTCCCCTTACACAGGCTTCACACCAGGACCTAAAAGGGAAGTGTGATACAGCATGCTCTTCAAACTCTTTTCTCGTCGGTCGAGTGGGAGCATGGATTCGGAGCTCAGGCGGCACTTCGTCGCCTTGCTCGGCCTCTTCGGCCTGCTCCACCGGGCTTACCCATTGCGGTGCCGGACGAAAGGGTGGAATGCAAGCGGCACAGAACAGACGCCGTTGCTGAACGAGATCGGAATCTTAGTTCCGTCTCGGGAGATCTGCCCACCAGATCCGTGCATCTGAATGCACCAGCCCTTGCTCATAAGGGCCCCCGCGGAGAGCAGCGGTTTTGCAACCGCCATCACCCGGAAACAGCAACGTCCATTGAGGGAGTTCTGGCCGATGCCGATGGTCACCCTGGCCTCGATCTTGCCAAGGTCCTTGACCACTTCGCCTGAGGCAGTCTTGTAGACTTTGCAGGTGCCTTCAGGCTGGATAGGCTTGTAGCCCAATGCGGTGGCCAGCTCAACAGGGATGCAGGAGGTCGCGGCTCCTGAATCCAAGGTCACCTGATGAGCCATTGGCGTCTCCATGGATGCCAGCTCCAAACTCCTGAGAGCGAGTGGATCTTCATCGCCTTCATCAGGCTCGCTTGAGGGAGTGGGATATCGTTTTCCCTTTCCCTTCTTGGCCTCACGGGCAGCATCCTGAGTGGCCACGTTGACAGCTCGGGTCAACTGCACCTTCCTCTGCTTGCCCTTTCCTTGGCCTTTCTCGGAGGCAGCCGGAGCCGAAGCGGCTCGGCTTTTGCCCGGGGATCGTGACCGGGACTTCAGCCGAAGCGTCTGCCTTGGCGCTTCGCTGGATTCCTCTGGCTTGGATCCTGGTCCACGGAA